ATTGGGCAAAAATGTTTAGAGAAAATTTTTAATGCTCTCTGGTGTCTTCCACTTTGTATTAGTTTGCTAAGGCTGCCATAACAAAATACAACATACTGAGAGGCTTAAACAACAGAAATTTATTTTTTTCACAGTTCTGAAGGCTGAAATTCCAAGATTAACCAGCAGGGTTGGTTTCTCCCAAGGCATCTCTCCTTAGCTTACAGATGGCTGCCTTCCTGCTGTGTCCTCAGAGGACCTTTTCTCTGTGCTGTGCGTCCCTAATGTCTCTTCCTCTCCTTAAAAGGACATCATTTCTATGTGCTTAGGGCTCCACTATTTTTACCTCATTTAACTTTAATTACTTCTTCAAAGGCCTTATCTCCAAATACAATCACATTCTAAGGTACTAGGGTGTTCGGGCTTTAGCATATGAATTTGAGGGAAGACATAAGTGGGGGTGAGAATAGGAAATGGCAATGAAAGCTAAGGCCAGGATGAAGAGGAATTACCTAAGTGAAAGTAAGTGAAGGAGGTAGGTGGAGGAGGCAGAGAGAATGGGGTGCATTTGGGACTTATCTGTGGTCAGTCTCATGGAGTCATGGGGGTAAAGGATAAAGCTGGATTATGCAGGACCTTATAAGTCTTGTTTAGAAGTTTGAGAAACAAGAATCTATTGAAGAGTTTTATGCATAAAAATGTTACAGCCAACTTCATTTTTAAAAGGTCATTGGCTGCAGGATAGAAAGTGAATTGGAGGAAAGTTATAATGCGGTCTAATGTCAGAGCAACCTGTTGAGAGGACTTTATGTTAATTCAGAAGAACAGGACAGTGGCCTGGAGCACATCAGGGGCAACTGGGATAGAAGGAAATGGAAAAAGTTGAGAGTTTGCCTAAGGCAGAAAGCATGACCTTGATTGGAACATAATGAGTTGTTAAAGTCAGAGTCTTGAAAGGAGTTTCAAGGTATCCCTCAGAGAAGCCACAATTATGACAAGTTTTTATTATTATTATCCATGACGATGGCCATTTAGTGATTTCTTGTCTTTTCTTTGCAAACCACTCATTAAAAGGCCAGCACATCACGCTTTGAGAGTTAGTTTCTTTCCCCATTCTTTAGTCCCATAAAACCATACTTAGGCCCCCAGTATCACTTCATTCCTTTTCACCCAGACTGTCGTCTGCCACTGACCCCTAAATGCCTGAAATGTGCCCTATTTCCATAGCATGTTACTGTCAATCAACTGCAAAAGATAGGAAATAATCTAATAAAGGAGTCCTCTGTATGAGTGTTAATTAATAATTCCCCTTCTCAGGCACTAATCCTCCCATTAGCTATTTGCATTTTAATAGAAGAATAGTACATGAGAACTGATGGCCTTAAAAATTAATCTCTAGTGATAAAATTCCTGTCACCATCCAGATAAATAAAAAAAAATATCAAGGGAGAATATAGGAACATTTCTGGTGCCCTTTGAATCATACTATTTTTTTTGGTTGACTGTCCCAACTTGGCAGGCAGAACAAAGTCAAAGAGAAATCAAAGAAATGTGAACAAACCCTGAATTCCCTGAAATCTTCACTAAATCACAAGTTAGTAAGCCCTAGCTTAGCTGGGGCCACCTGAGTTTCCTAGAATGCCATTTTGAAATCACTAGCAACAGACACTAGTCATGCATTTAAGGTAGAAAGTGGAGACCCTTCCAAATAATGGATTTTCCTGCTCTACAATGCAGTCAACACCATAGCCACTTTTTAATTCATCATAGTCTTATAGCAAGATTGCTGATTATAAAGTCCTGAAATGAATAGCGAGGGCTAGAAAGGGTGTTGGAATCAGTATTTATTTTAATGATTTAGGGATTATTGGCCATTCATTTTCAACTATTTATAATTGAAGTCTTGAAATAATGGAATTTATCAGAGGAATGCCTCATTCACCCTGGTATAATTTGAACATACTGAATTGGCACATGTGGACCCATAAATCGTTCGTGTGCACAAAGGGGTAATATATCACACCAGCTCCTGTTCATGCAGTGTTGGGGGAGGAAATGCATGGAGGTGTGAGTTATTGCTTGCTATACAGAGTCCCATATCTTCACATCTCACATTTCCAGGAGGCTTATTTTAGTGTAACAAATAATTTATACTAGCTGGTCATTCATGATAAAAGATACTTTTATCATGGGATTTTCTATGAAAGTTTTTATTAATTTATTTATGAAAACACAAGTGTTTCTGACAAAATCACTTTTAGACATCATCCTAGACTTGGAGCAATGGGCCCTATTGTCTGCATACACTGTCTCTAATATATACAGTCTCTAATACACAAGCATAAATGACAAGTGTCTTAAAAATCAAATTAAATTGCCTCTTTGTGGGACAGTTTTATGTTTAAAGCAAAGACAGTGTCACTTTCTCTTTGTTATTGAAGCTGTAATAAGAAATTTAGTTATTCTTTTTAACCACTTCAAAGCACATTGTTTTATAAAGATAAATATTCATATCTGCTTTAAAGCATCAATTTTCTAGAATGAATTCTGCCTTTTACTATTCAAATTGTTTTCTTATTCCAAGTCTAAATTTGTGTGCTGGCTAAAATCTCAATCCACTGAGATTGATACTACAGATTATGTGAGCCCTATATCCTAGAATTTTGTGTTTTAAGAGAATGTAAAAATATCACACATGCTATATGGAGATCGGTTAATTACTCATGAAAAATGATATTTTTATATGGTTTACATTTAGGCTTTATTTCATGTATTTGTATTTTCCATTTTATTTTCAAGATCTTCTACATGCTTGCTAGTCAGTGTTGGACCTGTACACTGGACCAATAGTATCAACATCTCTTGGAAGCCTGTTAGAAATGCAGATTCTCAGATCCCACCCCCAACCCACCCCACAACCCTTCACTACAGAATCAGAAAGTGCATTTTCACAAAATCCCTAAGTGATATGCTTACACTTTGAAGCTTGAGAAGCACTACTGCAGGTAGTTGTTGGATGGTAGATGACATTTTGATGGGGACAAGAATCATTAATGAATCTAAATAGGTTACTTAAGAGGCAAAATGATAACAACATTGCATTAACTAACATTTTTGAGCACTTGATAGTTCCAGACATCACACCAGTTTGATGCTTTTTACATATATTATCTCATTCAGGCAAAAAGAAAAGAGAAGCCTCTTTTTCTGATGATGGGGAAACAACTGGGTTGTTAAGTAGGAAAATTCAGGAATGTTCTAGTTATTTAGTACAGCCCAAAGAGTGGAAGTGTTCAGATTAAAACAAGGATCACTTACATATGTGAAAGGTATATACTTGAGCAGAGATAATGAAGACAGGAATGTCTTATAAATGGCCAGGAAAAAAAATTGTTACAGTAAAGGATTCAGACAAGGAAGGAGCTATTTTGGAAGGGACTTAGCCAACATGTTGGCAGTACATAATGATTTTCACTCATCTTCTCACTTTAGAACAAAGGTTAAGAGACTACGTTATATGTTTACTTTATATATAAATGTCAATATAAGTAATATAATTGTACATTACTTTATATGGATCCAAGTCATTGCAATGAATAATTCTTACAACCTTAATACTTGCATAGGAATGGATATTCTTTAATATATATTTATGAGTATTAACTTTTTCTTTAAGGAATAGCCTTAAATTTAAGAGCTGATGGAGAGAAATATAAGTATGATTGTGAATGAGAGGCACTAGTTTCTGATCCTGATTCTGACCTGATACACACCACGATAACTGATTAGCCAAACTATCACCAACTAGTCTGTTAACAGGTTAGTTATTGGTACATTTCATAGAATTTTTTTGAGTGGCACCCAAAATTTAGTCTTGAATGAAAGGCTTCAGAGATGAAATTTTTTGAAATATGGTAGAAGTGATAATGCTTCTATTTGCTTTAGTCTTTAGGGATTCAAATCTACCTTGTTTTAGTATGAACAGTTTCCATAAATTTATAGGAGATACTAAACAATTCCCATTAGTGTCATGGGGAACTAGTACTATAATTCCACTTTTCTAGTAGTAAATATAAAAAGCAGGTTACCTGGGTAGAAATACTGTAGATGAGAATTATATTAGTTATCTAATGCAGTATAATAAATTACCCTAAAATTTAGCAGCTTAAAACAAAAAATATTTATTATCGCACAGTTTCTGTAGGTCACAAATCCAGGTTTGGCTTAGCTAGGTGCCTCTGGCTCAAGGACTTTCATGAAGTTACAATCAAGCTGTCAGCTCAGGCTGTGATCTCATCTGAAGGCTCTGCCAGCGAGGATTCATTTATATGGTTATTGGCTTGCTTGGGTCTCTCATAACCTGGGTCTTCCACAGGGCTGCCTTAGGACATGGCAGCTAGCTTCCCACCAGGCACACTATCCAAGAAAGCTCAAGAGAAAGAAAACAAGCCCAAGATGGAAGCCATGGTCTTTTTATAACCTAATCTTGGAAGTGACATTCCATTCCTTCTGCCATATTCTATTCACTAGAAGTAAGTGAGTATATCTAGCCCATACTAAATGGGAAAAGATTATAGAAGAATGTGAATACCAGTAGATAGGAATCACGGGACACTCACCACAATTTTTTTTCTCTTTCTTCTTGCTTCCACATTTTCTATCATGTCCATTTTGGACATGTGTTACTTTTGTAATAAGGAAATGAAAATGTTAAAGCCAATGAAATGAAAGAGAAATTATTCTTATATCAGAAATATTGATCAGAAAAGTCACCTCTCCTTGGTGCTTTCTTAGTAAGACAATTGAGTTGACTGAAGACAGGATTTATTAATGACCTTGCTGGCCACATATTAGATCATGTCATGAGTCCAAGTCTGAGATCGTTAATCTAACAGGGTTTTGTATGGCTTGTAAATTGTTTGCACTGAAAAATTGAAATAGCAAACCTCTCTGACGGTAATATGAATATGTCAGTCATTCTCAGTCACCTGACAGTCTCCTTCTTGCTCTGTTCTCGGTAGCATGCTGGAGAGTTCAAACCGGCTTGATGAAGAACACAGGCTGATCGCCAGGTATGCGGCACGGCTGGCAGCAGAGTCCTCCTCGTCTGTAAGTAGTTTGAGTGGAAGGATCCATCTGTTGGCATCTGGAGTCCTTGAATTTCATGTTATGTTCACTGTTACCATTATAGCTGCTGACGATGACCAAGACAATTTGTGCCAATTTATTGTTCATGCGTTTGTTGCTATGTTTGTAGTGTCTGGTGGTGAATTTCCAGTTTAAAAATGGCAGACTTGAGGAACAAGCCATCTACAGTAGTGTGGCCCTGCAGTCAAGCGGGAAGGCCCATGTCCCCCCTTCACCCAGTGTCAACCCCATAGGAAGACCTGAGGATGGGGACAAGGACTGGTTGTGATTTTGTTTAAAAAATGGATGTAAGGCAAGTGTGTTCAGTGAAGACTCTAGGGTTAAATAAGAATAGTTGCAAGTGACACTTAAAATATACTAGTGGAGGCAACAGAGCTGATACTTTTTTCCATTTGCTTCTGTCTCTTAGACAAAAGCAACAGTCAGTTTGACACCTGGATTCAGAATTCATCTGTGCTGAACTGAGGGTGAGCTGTGCTTAGGGCATCACAAAGGGCAGTGAGTGGCAGGGGAGCCAGTGAGGAAGCTGTTGCCTCCCCACACCCCCCGCCCCTCCATGGCAGATGTTGCAATTATCAGAGCTGAGCACTTCAATAATGATCCCAGATGGGAGCCACGTAATGACCCATTACACTGGCCCTGGCGCTTGCTGTCTATGACATCAGTGACTGTAACACTGTTAGAAACTACCATGAGCGAGATGGAAGAGTCCATGGCAGGCTAAAAAGTGTACTGTCTGGCCCCAAAATCAGACATGGTAAAACAGAGGTACAATTGCAGTATATGACATCTTAAATTCTATAAAAAAAAAAAAAAGAACAAACATGTTAAAGAAAATAAATATAAGAGAATATGAGAGAACTAGATTTTAGGACAAGCAACCCCTTTGGGAGTCGCTTGAAAGAAACAAGGCTTCTGTAAGAACCTCTTTTCCAAGTTTTCTTGCCTTTATCATGCATATACCTCTATAAGCAGAGGGTATGATATGGTGAGATGGATTTGCAATGTGGAATTTTGAGTCTGTGTTCCAGGTCTCTATGATCACACAAAGCACCACCTCCTTGAGTTCAGTTTCCTCATCTGTAAGTAGGTATAATTATAATTATTATATATGTCAGTGCAGCCTGTCATTAGGGTCCAGTGAGATAATAAAATGTATAACAGTGCTGCATTAACCAGCAGTCACAAAATGGCAGCCTCAAGACCAAATTTGTCCCACAGAAATGTTTTGTTAGGCCCCACAGTATTTTTAGTTCTTTATTGGCTGTCAAGATTTACAGATCAGGTGATTTGCCTCAAAACTCTGGATTTTCAGGTTATCCTGAGAGACTGACAAGACCAGGCACATGTTTCTCATGGCAGCAAGCAGCTTCAGTAGAGGCAGTCCTCTGCCTGGTTTGGACGGGGCAAGAATGCGACACTTTGCCACAAACCATTCCCTGGCCCCCTTCTCTCATTTGGGTTACCTCGCTGGCCCCTTTCAGCATTTGAATTAGTGATCCCTGGCAGGCTGCTAAATCTCTGTGCACATGTTATTATTTATATGTGCACTAACTTCTCCAGTCTTTGTTCCATTTTTGTCTTGAGTACATCAGTAACTTGTGTCCCTTGCCTACTTATATCCTATATAACCTTTGTGCATGCATCACAGAAAAGATATCATTCACACATTAATTCTAGTTCCTTTGTAAATCTCTTCATGATCACATATCAAGAATTGCATGATTAGCTAAATAAATCATGATTATGAAGATGACACCAGATTAGAAAGGAAATAGAAAGATCATTTACTTGGATCCATTTCTGTCTGAATAATTTCTGATCAATTAATATAAAGAGAAAGGCTATGACTGAAATCCACAACTGGCTCAGATAAGTCTTTAGCCTTTATCAATGTATAAAATATATAAAAGAAAGAGAAACTTACATAGTGAAATCAGAAGAAAAACCTAGATCACAAGTCAAAGCTGTCATATGCTAGACTTAGCGATAGAAAGCCATTTAGGATATAAAACATAGAACCTCAAAATTCCTCATTACCAATGCTAATCATTTCTTTGCTAAGCTAAATGTGAATTAAAAATCATAGAACAGCTTTCTAAAAGCCAGACCTTTACTAAACTTAACCATTCCTACAGTTAGGTTTCTGTACATTAAAAAGCAGGATGGATTTCTCCTTATCTTTTCAGGTGCTATTTTTAAAAGCTTTGCATTCTTCAGTAGAAAGATCAGTTGTGATTTTTAAAAGTTGTTTTTAAAAAATAAAAATTGGCTTGGAGGAATTTTTACAATGTACTGTAGAGCAAAGAAAGCAAGGCACAGACAACAGTAGATAATCGGAAACCATTTTAAAAATAAAACAACACCAAATAAACCCTTGTCTCTATACATACAGACATATAAAGTATGGTATGTTATGATTTAGGATATATATGCTTACATGAGAATGGAGAAAGCTATGACTACACATATACCAGTTGATAAAGCTGGTCGATATACATGTATACCAGTTGATAAAGCTATGACTACACATATACCAGTTGATAAAGCTGATTGCATGACCAAGAATGATGAGCTGGTGTCCTATGAAGGTAGGAAGAAGCAAACAGCTACATGCATATGAATCTATCAATATAAAATTATATATGTGAATAAAGAAATGCATAAAAATTTGGTAATCAAAAGCAAAAAAGACTTATGAACTATAACTTAAAAACTATGAAATTTTGAATTGCACATTACAGTAATTGAACAGTAATGCTATAGAAATAGCCATCTCAACACTTATATTCAGAGAATAGTTGCAACGGGGACAGCTTAGCAAGAATGAAACAGCTTCCCAGAAACTTCAAGTCAGGAAGCTGAAGAACAGTTTTTACTATGTCTTATGTATTTGCTTGCTGAAGAATTCCATTCTGCTTTCCGTTGCATAGATGTGCTCCAGATCCACAGAAGAGTTGGTCCTTAGGAGAGGAATGGCAATTTAATTTTCTGTATTTGCTTTTTTGTTGTTGTTTTGATAGAAATAATTTCCTCTTCCTTGTCTACATATCTCATGACTTCTGTCTTCCCAAATGCATAAGTTCACATTCCCAATATTAAATTGTGTAAACTACATATTTTACAGCAGCCAACTCAGCAGAGAAGTGCTCCTGACATCTCCTTCACCATTGATGCAAATAAGCAACAGAGGCAGCTGATCGCAGAACTAGAAAACAAGAACAGGTAAGGCTTTGCAGACATGTTAGCGTATTTGAGCAACTTGGTACGTTCATTAATAACCTATGGTCATGCTTTAAAGTCTCCAGACTTTTCACGCTGTATACATATTCAAGGGAAGACTTCCACAGATGCTGGCTTTTGAAAAGCTGGTCTTTAAATCTAAAGATCTTCAGAAGCTTCATGAGAAAACTGTGCGTGTGTGTATGTGTGTGTGTGTGTGTGTGTATAAAGGTCTTAGATGTCAATGAAATTAGTGTTGTCTCTCTAGATAGCCTCACTTCCCTTTTTCTGACATGCTTAATTTCATTCAGAAACTAGGCACAAGGTGTCTTACTAGCCTGAGACAAGTAGGAGGCTCACCTGGAAGGCTCCCTGTAAAGACCCTGGGCTAAAGAGGCATCTGGGAGGCTATGGCGGGAGGATTGCTTGAGTTCAGGAGTTCGAGACCAGCCTTAGCAAGAGTGAGACCCTGTCTCTACTAAAAAAAAAAAAAAAAAAATAGAAAAATTATCCAGGTGTGGTGGCGTACACTTACAGTCCAGGTACTCAGGAGGCTGAGGCAGGAGGATCACTTGAGCCCAGGAGTAGGAAGTTGCCGTGAGCTATGAGGACACCAACACACTCTACTCCAGGTGACAATGCGAGATTCTGTCTCAAAAAAAAAGGCATCTGGAGTGACATCACCATCACCCAAACACCTCCACCTCCAGCCCAACAGCAGGTCCTTCGTCTGTTCAACAGAGATTGGTTCACAGTCTGCCTCCACAGCATACACCCGAAAACTAACCACTTCACTTCCACACCTCCCAGTTTGGTCTGTCCTTCTTAAAACATCAATCCTATCATCTCATTCCCATATCAAACCCTCTAGTGATTTCATCCACTTACATTAAAACCCCCTCCTCTTACCATGACCTGCAGGGTCCTACCTGAGCTGATTACCTCCTGCCATTCCAGCCTTGGCTCACCATGCTCACCACACTCCAGTCTCATGGTGCTTCCTCTGCCTTACAGCCCTTGCACTAGCTGTTCTGTTCTCTAGAAGGCTCTTCCCTAAGGTCTCTGCTTGGAGGGCTCCTTCTCATCACTTAGATGTCAGCTCAAATGTCGCCTCCTGAAAGACCACATGTCTATTCTTGCCCACTACACCCTACCCTAGAAACCACTCTCTATGACCTCCTCCGGTGTGAGTGTCTGTTGCCCTTATCAGTGTCTAAAATAACTGTATGTATGTGTTCATTTGCTTATTTATTGTCTGTCTTCCCTGACTGAAATGGAAGTTCTTTGAGAACAGAGGCCACTCCAAATGGCCCCTGGGGCCCAGAAACCTGCCTGGTACATTGTAAGAAGCTCAGTAAATATGTATTGAGTGAGAAAGTAATGGATAGCTGAGTTGAATCTCAAACTCAGTGCTGAGTAAGCCCAACATAAGAACAATTTATTTATGCTGTATTTCTTGGAAAAAGCACTCAGATGTTTTCATGCTAAATCTCATTCTTAAACACTGATGAGACATCTGAGGTCAAACTGGTAAAGTAAAGGAGGAAGTTGTGATCATTACTTCATGCCTGGAAAATTTGACCTGAGAATTTGGGGATACATGATCAAAGTATTCTTTAAAGTTCATAGAAAAAAAAATTAAAAGGAAGATGCAAACTCTGTTGGCACATTTTCATAATTTTCCTAGTAAAATGCTTTTGGCTTAATTGTCTTAGGACCTGGTTCTCATCATTAGGAAACCACAAATTAAAACAGAAATAGCTTCATCAATGTGACACTATGACTCCATAGCCTTTGAAACTGCTTCTCTATTCTGACCCCCAAGGAGATGTGCTCACATCAGTTTGCCACATGTGATCTCTCTCAATTTATCAAGGAATAAGAGGCAAGAATTAAGAAAGGAGAGAACAGAAGCATGGAGAGTTCGACAGAAAAAAAATTAGAATTTTCTCGGGACAGTCACAAGTCTATAAAATTACCTATCCTATTTTGTATAACATTTATTATATCTACTATGTGCAAACACTTGTGCTAAGTCAGAAAAGGCATTGGGAGAAGGGAATGCTTTCAAATAAGCAAAGGCACTTAAAACTCAGTAGGAGAAATGACCCAAAGAAAGGAAACAGGTAGTTGAGGGACATAGGTAAGAGGAAGGGCAGGGAGGCATTGGAGAAAACATGTGAGTTGAGCTAGTTAAAGCAAACAATGTAAAAGAACCGCTGTGGACTCTTAGGCTGGTGGAAGGGCTGTGTAAGTGTTTATGGTGATGAGAAGTAGGTGAACAGAGGGGCCACGTGTTGTCGCGACACTTTACATCAATTCAGGCACCAGAAAGGGCACAGAAAGAGAAAAAGAAAAGCAAAGAAAAATGGACAAGTTTTAAAGTCTTGACAATTATATTTAACCCAAATTTCCAACATCTTTAAAACAAAACATTATTGTTGCTAACCTTAGCAAATGTTAGAATAGGAATGTAGAGAATGTTTTTTTCTCTTTTAGTCAACAAAGTAACACTATAATATGGGATAGGAAGGGCTCAAAAATGACTCAGTCAGAATGAAGACATGTCAATAAGTCAGTGAGTGTCCCATCATCAAGTCAGCAGAGAAGAGGTAAAGAAGAAAGGATTAAAGGAGAGATAAAATCAACTATTTTATCTGGAACTAGAAGGCTATGCCAGCTTGAGGCCTGATTGAACTATGCCAGAGTTGAGGCCATTTTCTGGAGAAGGACCTAGCTCTCTCTACAGCCCATTCATTCAGAGGTCATCCCACAACCCCTTCTCCAACCCTAAGTCCCTTCTCTCTAAAACATATTTTGATTGCTACCCAGCAAGGAGCCATCCAGTGGAGAGGAGACCACAGCCAGAATTAATAACATGATTAGAGCTTCCAGATGGCAGCAGGAGGAAACCTGGGTCTTTGTTTTGAGGTGTTGAAGAGAGAATAACGACAAACTTATGTATTTATAGTACAGGTATACAAATATTGTTTCGTTTCATCCTCAGAAAAGCTCTTTAAGGTAGGCAGGGTGACTATTATCATCCCCATTGTACAGATGAAAATTAAAAAGTGAGGTGTCATGTCTACCCTTTTCCCCCATCATGACCCACCTTACCATCATTGTGGTCTAGCTTGAGTAGGGTAAATTTGATGGACAAGGTAAGTTTTTAGCTGGATATTTTAAGACAGTGAAATTTGGCAGTGAAAGATGGGAGATAGGATTATGGGTAAAAATATACACAGACATTGAGAAAAGCGATGAAGACAATTGCCAGGCAGCACCAAGGGGCTGAGATGAAGAGTAAAATGGCAACATTAGTGTATAAGGCTTGCCCATCAGGCCAAAGAATTTGAATTTTATCCTGTCATGATGGACAGCAGTGATGAGGCAAGTGACAGAATGCCTGTATGTTTATGGCAAAACCATCAGCTTACTAAATATGCAGCTTTCGTTTACAAGGGATTGACAAGAAGCTGGTAGGAAGTGATGAGGACCTACGTTCAATAGATGGTACTAGAAATAAAAACAAAGGAACCAAAAAAAGGAGATGATTAGACAAAAGAATAAATATTGTTGGAATGTTCATTTATAAGATTCTCTGGTTTTTCATTTCTAAACTTTCTATAAGGGATTCTAGATTTTTCAGCAATAGTCTTTATGTGATTCAGAGTTCACTAGCAGCCCTCTTTTCTTTCACTCTCTGGTTCTTTCCTTTCTCCCTTGCTCACCAAGTTCACCTGCAATTCTCGGTGTTCTGTCCTGTCGTGCTGGCTCTTGTGCATTTTGCCGAGTAGGAGACTGACCCCACCCCCAGCCCCCAAGAATATGTGACCCATAACCTTGCTTAATGGCTTCTGACTGGCTTAGGGATAATTTGCCTTGCACAGGTCTCCTATCCTTTATGGCCAGGCTAATGTCACCCACATGCAGGGAAATCCAGGCCCCAACATCAATAACAGACTGACACGTCTCACCCCCAACAGAGGTCACACCAATAGCGCTGTGTGCCACAGACTCAATTACAGTGAATCCTTTTGAAAGCACTTTCCTTCTAAGGCTTCCTCCATTGTTAAGGCTTTAGAGTGTTAAGGAAAAAAAGGGGAAGAATTTTGCCTAACTGGAGGTTTCTCAGATAAATTTGGTGAGAAGAATTTCCTTCTTGTTGAGAGAATGAGGTTATTTAGTTTTGTTAAATGACCACCATTTGTCCTTATTTTCCCTCCAAGTGTCCTTTCTTGGTAGGTGCTGGTACTTTATGGTGTCATAAATAACAGAGGCTCCATTTTTGTCTCCTAAGCAGCGTGCACTTCAAAGTTGAACGCATTGCCGCAGCATCATGTTACTTACTAGAGAGATTACTGGGTCCTGGTGCCAACACTGGACAACACACTGCAGAACCTTCAGGGTTGGGATGCGCTGGACATGAAGTCAGTCTTCCCCTCACCCGCAGCCCCCCGCTACCCCCACTAGCTACAGCCAAAGCCTCATAAACACAGTGAATCTATTGGTTAGTGAAGGTCAGTTCAGTCCTGCTCCTAAACATAGGGTGGTCCCTTCTCTCTTTATTCTGGTGGCCCTCATCTGCGTTGCTGTTAGTATCCTGGAAGTTCATTGGCCCTAATTTCTCCCCTTCCTCCTCTCTCCCAAGAGAAATCTTACAGGAGATCCAGAGACTTCGGCTAGAGCATGAACAAGCTTCTCAGCCCACACCAGAGAAGGCGCAGCAAAACCCCACCCTGCTGGCAGAACTCCGGCTCCTCAGGTAAGAGAGGGCACCCACGTCATCGCAGCGAGTATAAATGTCTGAGATCTGTAATAAAGTCCAACAGTGTCTAACCAGAAAACAGTCTTTAGACACCACAGCTGCTGATGCTTGTTGTTTTTCCATAGCGCACACCTAGTTGCTGAGACTTTGGGGGTTTGGAGAGAAGCTGTTTATATTTTACTTTCATTTGACACAGAGAAAAGGAAATAGTGTTCCGATCTAAAGATCAAAAATAACATCTCTCACTGGAAAAAATTCGAACTCAGCTCTTTTAGATATTTGCGCTATCAACAATGTGTGATACACATGATCAACAAAACAAAGTACAACTAATAAACATCACAGGTTTTTAAATTTTAAAAATTTACCTATAACCAACAAGAGGGAGTCTGGTTTTTTTTTCTAAATCTTGATCCCTAATAGCTTTATTTAAAAAAATCTTAAAGATTAGATTCATCTTAATTAATTAATATTAAAGATCTTAAGACTCAAAATCTTAAACACCTTAAAAAATAGACCTCATATGTTCTTATTCTGTAAATGAACTTAAAAGTCTGGTTTTGTTTGGTCTGTCATCATTAAATATTTGAATTGGAAGGGAACATAGAAGGTCATCTGATTTCGCCCCTGCATTCCAGTGCACTGCTCAGAGTGAGAAAACTAGACAGAAGTAGGTTTTGGAGAAGGACTGTAGTCCCTCCCACTACCTCCATGCTGCAAAATGGAAGCCTTGCTCTGCGCTCTGCATCAGACTGGCTTAGTACCATGCCTTGAAAATGCCATGTACTCAACTATGTTTGTGTAGCAAACAACAGAAAAATAAATTCAAAGACATCCATCACAGAAATGTCATACTGATCTTTCACATGACACCTTTAGTTAGCAAGTTTACATTCTTTTCATCTTTCAGTTTGGGTGCCGGGTACATTCCAAGTGTATCTGTTACTCAGAATCATGTTTTGTATAGTATGTACAAGTGCCTCCTCTCAGAAACTTTTGCCAGAATGAGTGTCAAATACTTCCTCCATACAAAGAGACTAAATGAAGTAGGTCCTGTATGACTGTGTTTGGATTTTATCAAGTCCCTATTCATCGCAGCTGTGAGTGTTTCTGGGGGCTCCATCCCAGCCGTGCTCTTCAGACATGTTGATGTCTGAGCCCTGCAGGTTGTAGGCACTGCTTGAGGTGAACAGATCACTTCATACTTTAGAATAACAAAATAATTTAATGGACTAAATGAAACAGAAATTCTTCCTTCTCAACCTGTATGATTTCTGGTCCTACCTTCAGAGAGATGTGTTGGAAGTCCTTGCACATTCTACTACAGAAGGGGTGAAAATGAAAAGAAGGAAAAAGTGATGTTTCATATCATCATCCTCATCCTCAATGCATTTAGAAGTGAATTTCTGCTTGAAAGTGTCTTTTGCTGAACAGGATTACATAGGTCCTCCAAGCTTACAAGTTGAAAGTCAAATCTAATCTACACGGAAATATATCTGAATAAAGCAACTTGGAAATAGTCATTCATCTCCACTTCAGTTGCCTTGTCTCTGCCTGAAATGTTCTTTATACCTCTTCCCTTGGTTATCCCATTCTCTATTGGAGGCAGGATGACTAGGAATTTTTCAAAAGCATTTCATCAGTTCCTCCCATTTAGCTTTGCTTTCGAAACTATTTGATTCCATCGGGATTGTACAGTATGGGAAGGCATCTTGATATGCATGGTTCACTGATAACGCACTTTCCAAGTGATATTTCTGCCCTCCTTCATGTTGCCATCTTAGAACAGACTAACAATTCTAATCAGCCCTGTAGCCCTGACTTGTGGGCATCCCATGACCTCAGCTGAGCCCAAAGGTACACTAAGGAGTCCAGATTTGCTGGAAACTTCTATGCTTTTATCCCACACCCAAGACCTGAGGCCTGATACACCTAAACCCCAACTGATTTGCTTGCCTGCCTCCATATTCTTCAAGCTTCTTCTGCCTAGAAGAAGAAATATCCTCCCTTGAATAAGTGTTTCTCTAGATACTCATCCACCATTTTCTCTGTGCTAAGCATTGTCATAATTTAGGAATTTCACATATACTCTCACACCTCAGGTTAAGAAACCTTGCCTTAGGTATTCTAAGTTTTATCTTTTCATCATTTAAGACTTTCAAAGAGTTACAAAAAAATGATGTCTTGCAAACCTTAGTTCGCATGGAGGGTGCCCACGTGAATCAGCCACATGAACTCCTTGTAGCTTTCATAATGGTCTTCTCTATTACCTCTTTCCCAAGCCTCTTCCTGAAAATCAACAGAAGAAATTTCTTTCAGCTGTAGGGCAGGAGAGGAAGAGAAGGGAGTGGAGTTTTGTTCTTCATTAACACATATTTGCTTTCTAAATGATCATGTTTCCCTTTTTATTTAGCCACAAGGAAACTGAAAACCATTTGTAGCCCAGATCTGGCAATGCAGAGGAGTATAATATAGGCATTTCTGTGTGCTCTTCTGACACTTACTATATACTAAGCTCTACGTACATTGTCCTGTGTAATTGCTGTAACAAACCTGGGTGATAGACACTATTATTATCCTCCTTTTATAGATAAGGAAACTGAGACTCATGGAAGTTAAATAAAAGTTGCAGACTTAATAACCCTTCACCCCTAAGTACTTAATGTGTATATTTTCTAAGGAAAAAAGTTCCTTAATATAACCATGGCACCATCCTCAATTTCAGGAAAGTTAATCTTGATATACATTATTCTCTAATATGAAATCTAGAGTAAACTTTTGCCAGTTGTCCCAACACTGTCCTAAAAGAAAGTATGTTTTAAACACACATACAAAATTAGAAATAATCTTACAATTTAAGATTATAAGGTATTCCTTTAGAGATGAATACATTTAGCTCTAAGAAAATGAAATCACTATTTAGTCCTTGTTTGCTTCCTCTCCATGGAATGATGGGGGGTACACCACAGATTTGTTATTACACCTGCAGGTAACCACAGGTAGAAACACCTATAGATAAGATTGAATAAAGACATCATTAAATATTGAATAAAGACATCATTAAATTTTTTTAATTTAATCAATATCATGTTTTTATGAGATTACTACTGTAATATAAATGCACAAATAAGACTTTTAAAATTTTGACTAATTCTAAATTAATACCAATTAACTTTTCTGATCATAGGTGTTAGTATTTCTGACCTATAATATTCAAATTTTGCTTTAACCTTCTTCCCAACATGTTCTTGTGGCCAAAAGGCCAAAAATCACAGAGCAGTATCAAGAAGAGAACTAGAAATAAATCAGAAATATTACCTAGTCTTGTACCAAGGCCTATTGTGGATGTACTTGGAACACCATGTGCAGACAAGGTCAAATGAAAAGCTAATGGATTTGTCATTGAAAAATTTTTTTGAATAAGGCAAGACATTAGAGTGCTTTAGCCCTGGAAGACAAAGGCTAAAATAAGATACTATTAAAGCCTATAAAATGATGATATTTGCCATCCTCTGGATTCAGAAAAAAGACAATTGTAAAGGAAATGGAGGGAAGACTTGCTTCAGGACTAAGCCATAAGTGACAATAATAAGTAAAAATATAAGTATGTTCCAAAAGGATTATGAAATGTTTATAAATTTTAAATTTATAATGTATTATAGAGAAGGCCTAAATGAAAGTAAATTAGAAATATCTCATTTACATCCTTAACCTGTCCTCCCACAAAATATCTTTCAACTGGATGAGTCATTGAGCTAGCTCACTGTGACATTTTTACATTGGCAGTTTTTTATTTCAGGGTCTCTGCTATAGTTCCACTTAACATGGTATCTATGCCATTGAATCTAGCCATAGCCATTCATACATTAATACATACATGTTTCAAGTATCCACACATTTTTATAATGTAAATGATACTATTTCAAACAGGAGCATTTGAGACAAGAGAAAATTGTATCTATTACTTATTCAATAATGATAATTCAATAATGGATTTGAAATGTATACATATACTTCAGAAATGTGAGCCATTAATATTCCTCTTCATACTGTTTCATTTCTTTCCCCCTTTAAAGATATTTTTGGGACCTCTTTGTGTCAACATAAATGATACAGTACAAATTGGCCTCACTGGTTTCCATTCTTGCTGACAGTTTAATATTAAGTCTGCAAAACAAAACAAAATTAAATAAACACAAATCTTATATATCATTTTTGGTTGTAGATCAATTATGTAGGAAGTCTTTTATTCTGACTCCACTTTATGAAACCAAACCCAAACCAAAAAATTTAGACTGACTATATCTATGTACTATTAATATTTCACTTCCAAAAGCACCTCATTGCATGCTGAGGACAGAAGAGATTTAAAATGTACTTTTCTAAATCCCATTTCCACATGCTAAGGTAATCAGTATTTTCTATGGGTTCTTGCATTTGGGGACTCTGTATGATCAGCCTTCTTCAGTGACAATTTGAAACTTTGTTGTCTCCAGGGAACCCATGTCACAGCACAGGGCCCACTACCTGGCAAACATCCAGAATATATTTCATTTGATGGTTATTTCATTCATAGTATTAATAGAAAGGTGGAAATGTCTGAAATCATTTTAACTCTGTTTAAGTTTAATGTGACTTCTAACTAACAAAAGAGCACCTCGAGCTGTAATTGTTCATTCACTTAATGACAGTTCCCTGCCTGGTAACCATGTCAAATGCCCAGAGATGCTCTTTCTCTGATAGACCACTAGGCCCTCAAGAATGGGAAATGTGATTCGCTCAGAGAGTTAAATGCTGCTTCTGACGGCAACTGCTCCTTTCTTAGACAGCGCAAGGATGAGCTGGAACAGAGAATGTCTGCTCTCCAGGAGAGCCGGCGAGAGCTAATGGTGCAGTTAGAAGGTCTCATGAAGCTACTAAAGGTAAGACATTTTAATTAAATGTTTCCTAGACCTATTACCATGGCTTTGTGAAAATTTTTTGCAATTTACTATATGTGATCTCCCCCAAAGTTTCAAACTCAGATGTAGAACTGGTGTTTAGACCAATGAAACAGGAGCAGTCAGTTATAGAGCTCATTCTTGTCGATTTCCTGGAACCAGATTGCTGACAGCCTTCTTTGGGCAACTGCTTCTTGGCTTATTTCATCTCTTTATGTCCTTGAAAGCAATAAAACTGGATTTATTTAGAAATATTTTATATTTAATAGCTTTCTACAATTCTGATTAAATTGAACAGAGGCTAATGTCTAACTCAGAAAATTAAGATATAGCCATTAAATAATTTTGGTGATTATAGTTTTATTAAGAGGAATGACTTTGTTGATGTCAGTAAAATATTTTATCCCATCTGTGTGGCTTTAGTGGTAAGTCACATGATTTCTAGTGGTCTCAAATGCAAACTGTCAATGAGAATATCTCCTTCCTCTTCTGTGAGTAGAGTGTTTTAGTAATAAGATGACCTTCTGTAGAATTGTAGTCTATTTTTCTCATTAGGGAGTGGCATTCTTCTTTTAATAAAGCCTTATCCCTTCTTCAGTGTATATTAAATTATATTTCAAGCCAAAAGTAGACAAACTGTGGCCACAGTCAGCCCAGTAGAAATACCAGTGCTGTGTGATCATCCTGCCTAATGTAAACAGGCATGAACCAGTATGGACCGGAACTGCAACATGCCAAAGGCAGGAAATGAAACTTCTGACAGGAGCACAATGAAGGGATGACCCTAGGCAGCTCCTGCTGAGACAGGATGTCCTGACTTTCAGTCCCTGGGTTCCCCCATCCCTGACACACCATCATTTGTTGCTTTTATTTTGTCCGTCCTTTCCTTTCTCCCTTTCTGTCTTTTGTTTGTCTTTCTTTTACTTTTTTGTTTTTCTTTCTTTCTTTCTTTGGTCCTCTCTCTTTCCTTCTTTATTTCTCTTCTTTAACAAATGTTTGTTGAAACCTACTGTGTCTCAGACATTGTTCTTCTAACATTTCTTTCTTTCGTTTTCCTCACTCTGTTTTATTCCTTGGTCCACTTTTCCCACCATCAATGTCCTGTTTAACAATCAGTGCTGGGAATGCTTTATCTTCACTCCACAAAATTTACTTTTTGGTAGATTAAAATTTACTTTATTACTAATTTGCTTTATCTTCACTCCACAAAATTTACTTTTTGGTAGACGTGTAAAGTGTAGAATTCAGGTGTTTTGTTTTTTTTAAACCTATGTTAGGCAAGGCAGGACTAGATAATTCATAATCTGCTGCTGTTTCTGGCCTATTATCTCATTCAATAACCCAGTAATGCTCTTTCTACTTCCATTTCAAAATATACCACATGAAGAGGACTAAATCCCTTCCCTAAATGACAGGAAGCTCTGAAAACTTCTCCCTATGTTCCTATAACTTCTGTCTCCATAATGACAACACTTTCACTATGGGACAGGAGTCTATTCACCACCAGCCATCTTGGCATCAGCCTATCCCTACTGAGCACAGCCTTTGTATCAAATTGTGCAAACATCAGGACAGAGAGACAGATCGTGTTAAAAGGTGGCTGAAAAGACCCTCTTTCCATGGAGGAAAGACATGGTCCTGTGGTCCCAAAGACCTAAGTGGACTTAGAGCCATAGTCACTGAGGTGGCAGAAGCCCAGACTTGCATCAAAGCCATGTTGATGTTTCTTCCAGCTTGCATTCCTTCACGCTGTATACATGCTCTTATTGGAACCCTGAGTAATCTAACTGTTATTGATTCAATCTTTCTGTAGGAAGAAGAACTGAAGCAGGGAGTAAGTTATGTCCCCTACTGCAGGTCTTAACTAACAGTGGAGGGGCCTGCCGACCTGCGTTTTCTCATTGCTTTTGCCTCTAATGTATGTTCATGCTTCAGTTTGGAAAGAGAAAAAAAAAAAATCATACTAATTTGCTTCCTTTTCGATGTAGTGCTTGAATTAAGAGATATAAAATTGAGCATTTTTTATAACTATCACTACTATGAGCATCAAAAGAAGAGCTATTACATCTTTTAGAAGAGGGAACAAATTGCCATTTGTTGGAAACTTTTTAGATCCCCAAGGGTAGAAGTTTCAAACCAGTCTTGTGCTTTTCAGGGTTGTTGATCTGACCCTTCTCTTAATAGCAAGACACCTGCCATAGTCACTAGAGCTACACTGAGGGTCATATCATCTCAAAACCCACAGCATTTAGAAGCTAACCTCTGTATCATCTCATGCTGTGAATATTCAGTTCACTTTCCATTTTACTGAAAATGTGTGGAACTTCTTTTTATAAAAATGGGACAATTAAATCTCTTTTCATTACATAATTATTAAGCCCTGTTCCCCACTGATCACCAAAATGTGCTCAATCTTATGAAAGACTATACTCAGTACTGTTCACTTCCATCTTTCCGGTTTTTCCCTAAAGCAAAATCCCTACTGTTGGTTGACAATAATCCCTAAAGCAGAGGTAATTATCAGCTTTTCTCTTATCACCAAGAACATTTCTGCTCTGAGATTTCATGTCATTACATACACTTTTTTTTTTCTGGAAATAGGGGCACTGTGACACTATCCATAGTTTAAACTGGAGCTGTGTCTGAACCCGTGGTCAGGTTCAGAAGCCAGCAGCAGGAGCAGCATATGGGACAAAAATTAAATTAAATTAAACAGAAGCAAAATAAAACCAGCTTTAATTTCAAGTGCATGTACCAAGCTGTGTATGACAATATACCCCAATCACTAGCATTATTACAAAGCTTTATATTATTTCCATGGAGCAATTAGAACCCAGCCTGTCCAATTTCAACATATCTTTTAATTCTTCTGTATGCTCTTTGCTATTATTCATTGTGTGTGTTTGTGTGTAACCAAGAATGTTTGCAAAATGCTGGACACATTTTTACCCTTCATTCCCATGGTCTGTAAAAAAGGAAAGTGTAAAATCAATCTGTAATGTCAGACAATAAAGATAATGTATTACATTATTTTGTATTCTGTGAAAAAAGTTACTTTACTAAAGTCAAATTTTAATAAGAGACAGTCCCTCTGGGTGAAGGACATACAACATTTACAGCCTGTATAATTGCCCATAAATGCGTACATGGGGTATTGCTATTGTGCTTCCAATACACTTAGATCATGGTAGAGAAAAATGCCTTTCTCATGGTACTTCTCTTTGCAAATGGCCTCTTTTCTTTCCTGTCTCTTACTTAGCATGTACAGTAAAAAAAAAAAAAAAGAAAGAAAAAGAAAGAAAAGAAGATTCAAATATGACCTGTCTCCTCCTAGTGGAGAGAAAGGGCAATGGTCCTGTATTCCATCAGCCTTGCTTTGGCCACTTCCCTTGGAGATCCCTTCCCTACCATTTCCCAGGCAACACATTCTTAAAGGCTCCCACAGACCAGGAAGTTCATAACAGCTGGATGCACATAGCCAAGCTATGGCAGTGCCTGTAAGGCAGCCCCACTGCCCCTTCACCTTCCACCCTCAGCAGAGCCTGCATCTTGGGAGGTCGGCCAGCAGTGGTTCATCAGCATAAGCACCTAAGGCCATTAGTCCACCCCTTCCAGATGTCTGCAACGCACTGTCTGGGCGGTGGGAGAGTTTGTCTGTTTTACTTCTTTATTTGCTTTGCTACTCAAGCCTCTTTTCATGAAGGACCTGAGGCAGCTTACAACAAAATGTATAAAGAGCAACTTCATAAAATTGAAATAGAACAAAGGAAAACTAAAGAAAATGTGAACATGCTAATCGTAAAGGACAAGGGTGTTACTCTGAGCTTTCCAGCAATGAAGTGAAAAAGGAAACATAAAATCAGTGATTTTATCAGTACAGAAATAGCACTTCTCAGGGGAACAAAATTTCTGTTGGCGTAAAATATAAAAGAAGCTTCTCACTCATAGCTTTCTAGGAGGAGTACCAAATAATAAAATGGGAAAATGCAGCCATAGATTTCATGTGGCTGTTTCTTATACTGACCTTCAGATTCAAATTAAAGACAGAACCCCATAAATCTTAACCCTATAGAGGCAGTTCTACAAGGAAATAAACAAATGCCTGCCCAAATATAGGCTTCTTATGATATAACATGATCTAAGGAGAGAATTTAGAGGTTTTAGACTTGCATCTGCTTCTAAATTCTGTTTTTATTTATGAGCCTTTTCCCTTTGGGGACATTCTTTTTGTAAAACCAAACTTAAACACTCCACACAAAAAATTGTGCTTGATTTAATGACTTCTACTTGCTTTATCATAAGTCTGCGTGGTTCAATGTAGTGTTTTATTATACTGCTATATACAATTCCTACTTACATTGTTTCTTGTTAGAGGTAATGCATGAATTTATTCCCCTTGAGGAGAGAACATGAATTTTCAAAAGTAGTGCCTGTAATATAATATGATATATGATATCACAAGCAATAAATTTTTTTTTTACAAAACTTGAATTGAAGTTATCCTACCCTCTTTCTTCTTTGTGTATCTTTAAGATTTATTGAAGGAACCATGAAAAAAACACTCATAACAAGCTTAATAATGAGAGCAGCATGGGTGTAATTGCAGTAACACTATGTTACAAAGTTTCTGGTATATTTCCAGTTCCAAATATTACGTATCAGTCTAAAACCAAGTATCCTGACTTTGAGCCCGGAAAGTAAGGTCTCAATAATAATTTTCTTAGAAAGGTTATTGGACCTGAATCACAGTGGTTCCAGCTCTTTGCTCACAACTGTAAGATCTTAAGTAACTCAATTAACTTCCTGGTAATCTGTTTCAAACATATTAATGATACATGGCTCATAGGATTATTGTATTGAATTTAAAAGATAACAGATGTGAAAATACTTTGGAAAATACTATATAAATGTCAAATATAAGTATGAATATATGCATATATGTATACACATGCATGTATATAAAATTCTCAAACTTGGCCCATAATTTGTGTGCATACACACTCACACATTCACTTTTCTTCCTTACATTTAACTAACAGTGTCTCTGTCAAGGGGAGAAATTTGAACAGGACTTTTAATTTGTTCAGATCTCTTGTAATTACTTTTAACAGTAGAAAACAGTCGTTCTTATTCAACAAAAAGTGAAATAACCAGTCCAGTAAGATTATATTTTTCTATTTCTGGGACTATCAGATACGATCCTAGATATGCTAATATCTGCAGAGTGTTGCTTTCACCCAAATTCGAGTACATATTTTAAACAGCTAATACAGTGAAGGGCTGAAAGTGGCACATGTTTTGTTCAATGTGCAATAAAACATCCAAGACTTTTTCTGAAAGTATTATTTATAATATATATTTTTGTGTAAGAAAGGTGATTGGTTTAGTCAAGGATCAAAATTAAGTTTGCATTAATTTTCAGGGCTTTTTTTTTTTCAAATTTGCAATGAGGATTCATTTTGAAAATTACATTTTAAACTTTGGAATCAAATTGTTCTTCATTTGGGAGGGTAACATATATATATATATATATATATAATGTTAAATAATATAATTTTACTAATTCAGTGGGGGAAAAAATAAAAAGAAAGTCAAATATCTTTCCAAATTCCATTACCTGCCCCTATTCTCTTCTCTATTTATAATTGAATAGTCCAATTAATGCAGGAAATTACAGTCATCAGATTCCTACTTCTTCAAAACACATTATAGAATGAATACAAACAAGCAGGCCAGAAGTAACCGATTTTACCAGCTGGGATTTCACCTTCCTGCCTTTCCCTTGTTCAACCTCCCTGGTGGGTAGTCTATGGAGTAGTGTATCCGTCAAATGGGAGGGAGGGGATAATTCACTCACCAATAATTAAGATGAAAACTGTCATCTTGTGTTCAAAAAATGCACCCTCCCAGACTCCCAGAGTCTCTCCCTCTCTCTCTCACCTTTTTTTTTTTTAATTAAGGATTGATCGATTAATTCTAGAGAAGTAAAAATTATTTATCTGCTTAAAAACCTTGGAAGAGGACCCTCTAGTTCATGATAAAGTCTTCACTGGAGGCCTCCAAACTTGGCTCCCCCTTCCCACTTCCATTTCTCTCTGCTGCCTGCAGCCAGCCTGGTTGCTGGAGCCACATTGACCTTCCTACCCAGTCCACAATACACAACACCCCTCACATTTCCTATGCCTCTCACTATGCCAAGGCCTGGAGTGTGCACAACACTTTGTACACGACAATCTCTTTAAAAAGGCCGATTATAGAAATTATCATCATCATGATGATAGTCAGTGAATGTATGATGAATGCATATGAAGAAAGGATGAAAAATGGGTTGAATGTAGCTAACCACTGTTTTGCTGTGTCCAGGCTGCCAACGGCAACCAGGTATGACCAGGCTGCATCCTTGGCCAAACCTAAGGGGCCTCAGGCTCTTCAGGTCTGGGGGAAGGGGAGTGCATAACACTCTACTGCTTCGCCAGGGTGTGCTGGCTCAACAATTAGACATTGGCTCCTTTCCTTGAAGCACCTCTCATTTCTAGTGCTGAGTAGAAACCAAAATACTTCCTGGAAAAAAAAAAAATCAGAAAATTTATGGATCTTGTCAGACTTTTTAAAAATTGATACAATAGCAGGTTGAGCGGGCTCTGAGGATGGCGTGTGGAAATTAATTTTTCATTTATTCTCTAGGAAGAGAGCTATTTTAAATTTGCCAAGTGTGATATATGTTTTCCTTCTTCCATAAATCAACTCTCTTCTAGGGAATTTTAGATCTATATATTGATCTGCATGGACCATTGTCCCTTAAGCCTTTGCTCCATTAATCATTGAGTAATTTCCAGGCAAGGATGTTCTCAGAGATTATTCACTCTTACTCTTCTAAAGTTGTTAGCAGACAACCATGCTCCATGACCAGGCTAGAGGCCACCATTCCACAGAGGCCACCACCTGTGAAAATGAACCTCAGTTGCCACTGATCTGCCCAATGTCAAGAGGCAGCTGCCCTTTCCTAGTGGCCTTACAAGAACAGAAAGGAAGGCCAGAGATGGCACTCACAGTAGGTGCTAGGAAGAAACTATGAGTCAAACTGGACAGTGTCCTGATAGAAAGAGAGATGGGGACACGATCACCCAGGGAGTCAGTTTCCTACCCCCGCAAGTCTAGAGAAAGACTGGATGTGACTTGGGAGTTGCAAATTGCAGGAAAGATACAGCTGAATCTTTTCTTCAATACCAAATCTTCCACCTACATTCTTCACATAATCAAACTGCTTGAAATTGCACCAATTAGAGATTTCATTTGGGAGATGGTGGCTATTAGTCATTCACACATTGGTGTAATTTAGATTCAGTCAATTGTTTTTCCCTTAACACCATAACCACAGTCAATTATTTTCCTCTTAACACAGAACCACTAATGAGAGTTTTGGGGGCAGCAGACAGAAAGGAGGAGGAAAAGTTGGCTCTGGAGACCAGGCACTGAGCAGGGAGAGGGAGTGCTCCGAATGCCTCAAACACAAGTGAGCAGGACAACCAAGTGTGCCAGGAGCACGGGAGAGAAAAGAAGGAAGGAGGGCCGGATGTGTGTCTCTCCTTATAGGTGCTGGCCAAGGAGGGGAGCCCCCACGAGCACCTGGTACTTGGGAATCCGTGTAAGAGGTGCGAATGGGGCTGGTATGCACCACAGGCCCAGTACAGCCACTAAAATATTGAAATATGGTACATGGTCCCGTATCTGAAATCACTGGGTCCATAATATGCCCCAGAACTCAGAATTTTTCAAATTTCTGAAAGGCAAAACAATGCAGATTCCATATCCATGGCCTCATATCCATTAGGACCAAATTCATTATGAAATGACATGTGTTTGTCAGAGCTTTTTGGATTGAATGATGATGCCTACTTCATAGGATCATGGAGAGAAATCACCAAGAATGCATGGGAAAACCCTTTGAACATTATAAAGCGCAACACAATGTGAAGTTATTTACTGTTGGCATGGGAAACTGGGGGATGCAGTGGTAGCTCAGAAGCACACGGTTTCAAGGTAATGAGGCTGAGCCGCCAGAGTTTGCTGGGGAAAACCGGACCCCTCCTTGAGCAGTCTGGGGGTAGCAGGCTGCACAGCATCGCAAGCGGGCAAAGTTCTCTTCCTGGGGCCTGGACAGACCCTTACAAGGTACTGTTGAGCGTGAAAGAATGGAACCCTCAGCCCAAAAATCATGAGTTCTTTTCTGTGTTCTGTTTTGCTTCCTTTTTAATTATGGGTTTTTTTCAATTTATGGCTTTGACAATTACGCGTGAGGCTGAGCCCTGGAGAGCTAACAGCATGGCATTTTACAGGATCGATGTTGCGTGTTTTAACTGCAAGCTGCTGAGCCCAAAGCAAAGCTCTCAATTGGATATTCCAGAGCGCTGCTCTGGTGGTGCGCGTCCAGGAGTTTGAATGGGTTAACTTTGAATCTCTGGGCCTTGCTGGAAAAGAATTCTCACTCAGTGACCAGACCAACAGACTGGGATGGAGTTGATGTGAATACTCAATCTGTTGTGTATGCACTCAAGGATCTCCTTGCACTTTCTTATGCATGTATGACCGACTTCCTTTGTCAACTAATCATTAAAACAGGGAGACTGTTTCCAAGGGACCTCACTGTAAATACAAAGCCTTAAAATTCAAGGTGTCACAATCTCAAAATGGTTTAATGCCAAGAAGTGTAGTGCAGTGATAAGTGGCTTTTAGTTGTTTCCTGCCTTTTTCTTTTCTCATTTTTAAATTGTACTATGCTTACTGTCCTGCTAGAGCACTGCTTTTTCATAGGTAAAGAGAAGGACATTCCTGCAGGAAACAGTAGCCAAACATTAAAAGCCAAGATTTCTTTTTCCTTTTCCCCATTTCAATTCCCTGAGTCATAGGGTAATTTGACAAAATCAGCTTTTACTATAAAATAGGGATAAAACAATTTACACCTCATTTAATTCTTAATTTGAGACTTAAATACATATAACATTGCATGACATGACTTAAACTGTGAATTATCCTCTAAAGATGATTCCAGGACAAACAGGAAAATTAGGAAGCATCTATCTCAAATAGTCTTCTAGTTTGTATTTAAAACTTTCTCCTTTAATATCTTTTTGTCTACAGAGAACTTCCTTTAAGGAGAGAATACACACCTTGTAACTATCTGCAGTTAAGACTAGCTTCATTATATGAGCACACATTTCATATATTGTAGAACAATGATACACTAATATTGTTAGCTTTCAATATTTAACCCAGACCTCAGATTATATATAATAAGGTCCAAATTATCTGCCACTGCAAGTCAGGTTTAGGATTGTCATCTCCAATTACCAAGAATTTCCTCCTGCTTTGAAATTTCATTGTCACTGTTTTAAACATTGGATTGAGACATTGGGGATGGCATATGGCATTTCTTGGAAAAGCAAATTAATGACTTGCATTGTCTCTCCAGACGCAGGGGGCAGGCTCTCCCCGCTCCTCCCCAGCCACACCATCAGCAGCCAATCCCATGCCCATCCGGTCGGCGTCTACCTGCTCCACCCCAATGCACACGCCGCAGGACTCTCTCACAGGGGTAGGGAGGAATGTACAAGAGGCGTTTGCACAAAGTAAGTGGCTTTATTCTTTGTTGTGTTGCGCTTGTAGGTGCAAATACGTGCCCAAGGTGTGTTGAGTGGTTGAGAGTCATGGAAGCCACCCATGGATATTTTAGGGCAGGCATCCTCAAACTATGGCCTCGGGCCACATGTGGCCTACAAGGGCATTTATCTGGCTCACCGAGTGTTTTCCCACTGCTGCCCGTCCTGCTTAGCAGCTGACAGGTCCCGGCCATAGTGCGCATGTGTGGAATGTGCAGCACTCTCCAACGGCCCTCCAACTGTCTGAGGGACAGTGAACTGGCTCCCCGTTTAAAAAGTTTGATGACCCTGTTCTAGGGTATCCCATGGCTTGTGTCAGAGCCGTTTGGATTCCCTAAGCTAATCTGTTTTCTCTTCGCCTCAGTGGTGCACCTTCCTTTGGCTTCTGTTGCTCTACCCTGTTTTTTAGTAAGTCTTTGCTCATCAAGAGATGGGAAATCTTTTCACCAGTATCCCATAAAACTTTATAATGTAATCCATTTTAAAATTCTGAAAGATCATTTTACTTCCTATTGTCTTATCTTTATATTATAGCAAAATCAAGACTGAGATTAAGTAATCCAGCTCTCTAGCTCTGAGTGACCTGGAAGGATATTAGTCCTTTTACAATTCTGTTCAGATGCGCCAAAGAGTCGAATCCTTGCCTCTTTAAAGAGGGCCACAGGGTTAGACCTATGTGCTGTTAGTGTAAAAACATGATGACAGTTGACAGCCCGCACTCTGCCAGGGCTGCCTCTTCCACTTACACACTGGGGGAGGCAAGTGACTTTACTAATTTGGAAATGTTTTTAATACTTCCTAAAACTCTTCTTACCATCAGTTTTTAAATTTATGGAGATAAGAAACAAAATTCTCCTGCAGACATCACCCAGCAATCTCATTCCCAAAAGTAACCACTATTAACAGTTTCATCGTCTCTAATCTTTGCTTATTTACAAATAGATATAGTTAGATAGTGTTTATAGACACATACTCTTTTTTCACACAAATAGGATCATGCATTGCATTGTGTTCTGCAATTTGCATTTTCTTTAAAGTAGTAATATGTCATGAACATCCTTCAAGGTCCTCATCTACTGACCTAAGAAACAGAGAGACATAGTTGACTACAAGCTTTTAGGCAAGAGGAGGCATAAACAAAGTCAACGGACAAAAAGCAAGTTTGAGGAAGCCATTTCCAGCATATGTAGCAACCAGGTTTTATAATTTCAGTTACACATGAAGAATGTGGAGATCAGTAAGATAAAGACATCCCAAGACAAAAGTAGGTGAAGGATAGGAACAGAACAGAGGAACAAATAGAAATTGCCAGTAAAGGTATGAAAAGAGGTTCAACCTCACAAATGATTGCAGAAATACAAATTTTAATAAATATCACCTTTTGCCTAGACAATTTAAAAGTGTTACTTAACATCAGTAAGATCCAGGGCTAGCAAGATGTGAGGAAGCAAACACTCTCATCCACATGTAGGGGGGTAACATCTTAATGGATTTGATGCAAGAGAGTGATGGACTCTATCTGTTAGGAGGGAGAGAAGGATCCATATTAGGACTTTTTATTCTGAGCACTGAATATAACTCAGGAGGGTTTTTTAATTTAATTTAAAAAATTTTTTTTTATTTTTAGAAGAAATATGTCCTTCCTCAATAATATTTTAAAGAAATTTGCAGTGTTTAAATCAGTTTGTACCTTAAAATCTTTTTACCTTGATACTTTGATTGTTTAACTTAATGTATTAAATTTATTTAGCTAGCATTACTTCTGAGAAATAACAAAAAGACTGTGGCTATAGGCAGTCCTAGTTCATAAAGAGTTCATGCTACCTAAGTTCATTGTATATCAGGTATTTGGAACCTTGAACCTTTTTTCAAAGATATTATGGTGATTAGCCTCCTGTACCTTGCCTACTCCCAGGCCAGCAGCTCACACATATTCGTTTAATCCTTAGTGTGCCTGAACTAAAATAATGACCTTTCTCTGCCAAAGACTGCCACACACACAGTTTAAGTTCAGTTCAGAGCACCAGACGTGCCTCTGTCCATGTTTAAGCAGAAGCAGCAAGAATCCTCCACCTTTCTCACACGAAGGTGGTTTCCCTTTCCCAAGAGCTATTTATACTAGTAGGAAGAGCTGTGGGAGCCCCAATAGGAGACAGAGCCTGTCCTGATAGGGACCAAAATCCAATGTGCTCAGCAGCCAGGTAATGGCTAGAACAATAGCAGCAGCTAGCACAGCTCTCCCAGCAAAAACCAGATTTGTTATCTATGTGGATTATCTTAGAAGGGTGACCACACATCCTGGTTCACATGGGACACCCAGTTTTGTGCCAGGTTCCCCAGTCTGATTGTTAACACTGCTCCCCTTCACTTTCAAATTGTCCCAATTTGGAACAATAATTATAAGAACCTCCATCATTAACCATGTCTTCTTACATCAGGGGCCAGTTCCCTAAGTGTATTTTTTTTAGAATGAACCAAAGCATTTCGAAAGGAAAAGTCTTAGAAGTTTTCTTGCTTTAGGTTATCAATGAAAACGATAAACAAACAACATAAAATTGGGCGGTGGGAAGAAAAGCTTTGATTTTTTTAAAAATGATTATTTCTTCTTCACTGAAGGTTCCAGAAGAATTTAAGAAATGATTTGCTAGTGGCAGCAGATTCCATCACGAAACCATGTCTTCTCTTGTGAAAGAGCTGAATTCTGGTGAGTCCCTGATCCTGTCTCATTCTCTGCTCATCAGGGAAGGATTCATAAGTGCTAAAGTCCTCTCTGGAGATCTGCCCATTGTCAACTATAAAAAGATATTTTAAAGTATTATGTCATTTTGGGACAAAATGGCTCCTCAAGCAAAAAAATAAATCTATGTCATATTTTGCTGGTATATTCAGATTTTTTAGCAGTGTTTATAGTTTGCTTTATTAGAAGACTATTAGCACCTGCTCAATGCAGAATGTTTGAAAAATGCAGACAGGAATGAAGAAAAATATTAAAATGACCTATAATTCTAGAATCCAGAGATAGCCAGTGTTAACACATATGGGGATCTAAAACATGATGCTATTTTATAGAGTCAATTATTTTATGTACCTATTTGGACGCTGTTATCTGATCATTTGGGTGAGGCCAAACTGAAATTTACCTTTCATATATCTCTAAAGAAAAATCTTCCCAGAAAATAACTAGTATAAAAATTTGGGAGACTGTTATCCTCTTCATACTACAAAGAATTTTTAAAACTTTAGCAGTGTGAATATGCAAATAAATACCTTACCAGTTACTAATACATCTCCATCTATCCCTTAAAGCAAACCTAAGGAGATATTTGTCTAGCAGGACTGTGATTAGAACAACTATGAGAAATAAAACTTCAGTATTTAAAAAGTCCTGGACTTAAATTTCTTAAATCCTCTGTAATAAGAATTAAAGTAATTGAAAATTTTTGCTGGTATATTAGATTAAGATTACCAAATAGGATAAAATAACAGTAGTTAAGTACATTGTGATTAGTGGCATGTACTTACTGCCCTAACAAATAATGACTAAAAAGCTATTTTTGTTGTGGAAGTCTTAAGTACTATTAATTTATACTGTTATGATTCTTTGAAGTATTAAGTGCATATCATATTTTAGGTTCATATTTTCTAAATTACAGTAATGTTAAACAAAAGCAACAACAATTTTAATGAAGAGTTGTATAAAGGGGGGAAAGTAGAAGTTTGAAGGAGTTAAGTCAGTTACTAAGACAAAAATAATCCTTGTAACATTCATGACATAAAAAAGAAAATGCTATCTACCAAATGATTTTATAGTAATTCAAGTCACTATCAATTCTTATTTTGAAAAAATATTTATTTGACTAGTGTTCACTAACTGGTTAATTTTTTAGACCATACAGGTTGATTTGTCAAGCCTAGTCCTTTATTTACAGATCATAAAAAATCTAACAAGTCTTTATTTCTTCAATTGTACCTACTAGAAGGGGGGAGTGAAACAGAGAGTAATGTGGATTCTGAATTTGCGCGGAGTCAGTTTGAGGACCTGGTTCCATCACCAACCTCTGAAAAGGCTTTTCTAGCACAAATCCATGCCCGAAAACCTGGGTACATCCACAGTGGAGCCACCACGAGCACCATGCGCAGTGACATGTGAGTATCCTCCACCTGGAGGTGTTTTGTCAGCGATAAAACAATCTGTAGGGAGCAATAAGAAAGTAAAAACCTGGTACTTTAGGGTTTTTTATTTTAAAAGAGGATGTTGCAGTTTCTTTTTCTGCCAGAAGAGGTGTGCTACATTTACATTGGGCATTGTGATTTTTTTTCCGCCTTAAAATTTCCAGGAGTATCAATAACCTAAAACCGACCAGTGCCTATTGAGAGCCTGGTTCACCCATGGTGCTGTGCTAGTTCTCTACAAAATGGTATTAAAAGACTTCTCCCACCCTTCCAGGACTCATAGACTAGTTCAAGAGGTAAATCATCCTGTCTTTGGAACCTACTATATTTGGACTTGGGATGATGGTGGAAAAAGCTTCTGTTCAGAATTGGTGTAAACAACATCCTCTAAGCACTTGGAATTGAAATAAGTAAATGTATAAAACCTCATTATAAGAAAGTTCAATTTGGACCCTCAAAAGACTTATTGGCAAAAGTTTTCACCCAATTAGGCTTCTGTAGCTGGCAGAAACCAGCAGAATCCCTGGCGTCTCCACTAGACTTTCTGTGACCCTGGATCACCCCAAAGTATTCAGCAGAGGAAACCAAAGCTGAGAAAGAAAAGCAAAGCTGGGACAGACCAGCAGAGCCCAGCATGGAAGGGAAAAGAATAAAACATAGAAAGTGAAGAAAATGGGCCGTTAGTAGAACAAGGCACTACAAGAAACGTGGGCAAAGGCCACCAAAAGCTGAGAAAGGGAATTGCCGGACACTAAAAATACTACAGAAGGGTGATGTTGCTTAATGTGAAAAGTACTTCAGACTAGTCTATAAAAATAAACTGGCTGTTTTAAAGACTCAAAGAAGAAACTAAGCAGAGGCCCTTCTGGTGTTCTGGCTCATAATCCAAGGAGTGAGTAAAAGATCAGTAATGACGGAGAATTAGAAAGAGACTTGGTCTGAGAGCCAGCTGCGGAACAGCAGAGTGTAAGATCAAAACAAAACAGTTATAACATAACTTCAAATGGCAGTGTGCTGCTGCTTTTCATTACGGTTTGCTTTTTCGCCATTTCCTCTATGATTTAGAATTGTTGGACTTGTTTGATATTCACAGTGGGGAATTGATTGTCATCTGTTTTGCCTGGTAAATACATATCTATTTGATTTTTTATTATTAAGCATCAACATAGTGGTTAGTTAAAATTCTCTTGTCCCAATCTTAAAATCCAAGACTATTAAAGCTATCCCAGTCTGCTGGCCCCAGTAGGCTGGGTAGCAGCAGTTCTAGCCTCAAACACATAACTCAGGAGTTGGGGAGGGAAAGTTTATAGAGGCCTCACAGACCCATTTAGGCTGGCCCCAAACCTCCAAAAATAAACAAGAACATGTTGTACGGATATAAATAAACATGAACAGCATTTAAGTTCCAGTCCAGAAACTTCTCCTTGAAGTTTTCACTTCACTCTTTTCATTTTAGGGGATATTTTAATATCTAGGCTATTTACACATGTCCTGTATTTTACCCAGAGAATATTTCAGTCCTTTGATTTAGGTAGTGAACTTATGTTCAGCCCCATAAAGAGCTTTACATATTCTGGGATGAATAGATGGTGATAATAGAGTCCCATATTAGTGAATGAGGTCATTCTTATCTATATCATAGTGGAATTTGTCAAATTAAATGGATGCTTTTCAGATTTAAAGTTAGTATAAAATTTAAGGTCAAAAGCTATGGGTTAAAATATCAGCCCTCCTGGTATCAATTAGCTGATATTCTGAGACTGGTTTCTACTATAAAAATAAAGCATGAGTGTGTGTATGTGTGTGTGTGTACACATATATATGCATGTGTAATACTAAGAGGATTAAATTATGAACAAATGTCCTTAAGCATTATCTCACTAGAGGGCTCACTCTCCTTATAGAATGTGTTCTTGGGTTCCATTTAAAAAAAAAAAAAAAAGAAAAAGCCCTCAGCCTGGGAAAACTTTATATCCCTTCAAAAGATATCTGCCTTTTTTAAGATTATAGAACATTTAAAAGGCCAACCCAGAAAAAAGCAGATAACCAATGATCACCAGACTGCCATAAAAAAATCACTTATGGAAATACCTTGATCATATATTGCTCCAAACCTCCAAAAATGTTTCATAGTTTTCCCTTAAATAAATGAAGTCACAAAAGAGAGTTAGAGGACTAAGGGGAAATCAGTGTGCCAACAGCTTGGCTGGGCACAGTGGCTCATGGCTGTAATCCTAGCACTTTGGGAGGCTGACGTGGGAGGATCACTTGAGGCCAGGAGTTTGAGACTAGCCTGAACAAGAGCAAGAGCTTGTCTCTACAAAAATTAGAAAAATTAACCTGGCATGGTGGCACGTGCCTGTAGTCCCAGCTATTCAGGAGGCTGAGACAGGAGGATCATTTGAACCAAGCTCAGGAGTCTGAGGTTGCAGCGAACTATGATGACACCACACCACTGCACTTTAGCCCAGGCAACAGAGCAAGTCTCTGTCTCAAAAATTATTAAAAAATAAAAAAAAAAACACTGCAGCTCACACATGAATTCCACTGCTATTTGTCTTTTTATTTTTTTTTGCGAATTTGTTATTTTCTTTTTTTTTTTTTCATTTCGGCATATTATGGGGGTACAGATTTTAAGGTTTCAATAAATGCCCATTTCCCCCCTCCCCCCACAAGTCTGAGTCTCCACATGACCATCCCCCAGATGGTGCACATCTCACTCATATGTAATTAATATACCGCCCCCCTCCCCCTCCCACCTGCCCAATACCTATTACTGCAGTACCTATGTGTCACTTAGGTGCTACTCAGTTAATACCAGTTTGCTGGAGAATATATCTGGTGCTTGTTTTTCCATTCTTGGGATACTTCACTTAGTAGTATGGGTTCCAGCTCTAACCAGGAAAATATAAGATGTGGCTATAACCATTGTTCTTAGAGCTGAATAGTACTCCATGGTATACATATACCACATTTTATTAATCCATTCTTGGATTGATGGGCACTTGGGCTGTTTCGACAGCCTTGCAATTATGAATTGTGCTGCTATAAACATTCGAGTGCAGGTGTCTTTTTTGTAGAGTGTCACTGGATCATTTGGGTAGATGCCCAGCAATGGGATTGCTGGATCAAATGGTAGATTCACTTGTATCGCTTTAAGGTATCTCCATATTGCTTTCCACAGAGGTTGAACTAGTTTGCAGTCCCACCAGCAGTGTAGGAGTGTTCCTCTCTCTCCGCAACCACGCCAGCATTTATTGTTTGGAGATTTTTTGATAAAGGCCATTCTCACTGGGGTTAAGTGATATCTCATTGTGGTTTTGATTTGCATTTCCCTGATGATTAGAGATGTTGAGCATTCGGCCTGGGCAAAGAGTTTATGAAGAAGTCCCCAAAGGCAATCACAGCAGCAACAAAAATAAATAAATGGGACATGATCAAACTACAAAGCTTCTGCACAGCCAAAGAAATAGTCATGAAAGTAAACATCCTACAGAATGGGAGAAAATTTTTGCATCCTATGCATCCGATAAGGGACTGATAACTAGAATATACTTAGAACTCACGAAAATCAGGAAGAAAAAATCAAATAACCCCATTAAAAAGTGGGCAAAGGACTTGAACAGAAACTTTTCTATTTGTCTTTTAAGACTTGCTCCAAAACACCATCCATGGTTTATTTCCAGGGTTACAGAAGATGGGGATCCCTATGTGCGGCCAGAGGATGAAAATTACGAAAATGACTCCGTCCGACAGCTGGAGAACGAGCTCAAGATGGAGGAATACCTGAAGCAGAAGCTGCAGGATGAAGCTTATCAGGTACGGGGGTCCAGGCCCACCTCCCTCCACCACTTCTGCCTCTGCTCTTTGGTAGCTGAGTCTTTTACATCTGCAGTCCCCAAGCCCCGGCCGCAGATCAATGCCATTCATATCCTGTTAGGAATGGAATGGCAGGAGGTGAGCAGTGGGCAAGCCAGCGAAGCTTCCTCTGTATTTACAGCCACTCCTCACCCGTGGCATCACCGCATGAAGCTCTGCCTCCTGTCAGATCAGCTGCATTAGATTCTCATTGGAGCAAGAACCCCACCGTAAACTGTGCATGCGAGGGATCTAGGTCGCAGGCTCCTTATGAGAAACTAATGCCTGATGATCTGAGGTGAAGCTGAGGCGGTGATGCCAGCAATGGGGAGCAGCTGCAAATACAGATTGTCATTAGCACCAATAGATGTAATGTGCTTGAATCATTCCAAAACCAGCCCCCCAACACAACCCCACATCCTGTGGAAAAATTGTCTTCCATGAAACTGGTCCCTGGTGCCAAAAAGGTTGGGGACCACTGCTTTACATCACTCACAAAATCAGTGTCCTCTTCCTTCCACCCTCCCTTTCCAGAATATTCTGATTGCACTTCTTAGTCCCTGTATTCCAGACAGTAACAAAATAAAATACTTCTTATAGCTGTCACTCACCACATATTCTTCTAAATTCTGATCTGGAAAGTGAAAAGAGGCCTTGTTATATTAGCAAAAATTTAGTAACTAACAGTCTAAAGTCCTTCAAGATCATTAAGAAAGATGCTTTTTCTCATAAATTTTTTTAAAAATGGATATGAAAAACAAGGCACAAGGAAATTGAATAAGCATAACTATACCTCCTCCCTTGAATTATTTGTCATCAGCCTCCCTCACTGCCCACCTCATGCCAAATATAAGTAAGTAGGAGAGTGACAAGCCTCATGGCGAGATGCTGGGGCAACTGAGGCCCATGTTTATCAAGCTGTGGATGGACAGAGTTTCAGGTGTGCTTTAGTATATTAACTCACCTGAGAATTCACTGAACATAACACACGCAACTGGGAATAAATGTAAACAGTAACTCAACGAAAGGGCGAAACATTTTCCCTGTGGAAATTGTTCTACTGCCTTGTTTGTCTTTCCAGTGTATTTCTTTTTCCTTTAACCCACAGGTGTTTTATTGGGTTCCGAGAGTTCAGGGATGTCTACCTGGGTGAGAGCTGCTGTTCTCCAGGCCCCCGGGGGTTATTTTATCCTGTCAGACTTTCTGCCCCATTGCCAGACAAGCTTTCTTCACACTCTTAGGGCAGCAGTGGCCTCTCTTACCCTGTTAGTGAGGAAAAGAGAAGCAAAGAGAATAAATTATCTCCTACCTTGCATATGTTTATAGATAAAGCCTTCAAATAGTTTTCCAAGAGGAACATAGCAAGAGAGAAACTGAAGCCCACCAACTCTGCCCCCAAAGACGTGAAACAACAGTTTTGCCTCTTTGGAATGTTCCATTAGTCTTTTCAGTTTAACGACCACATTTCAAAAGCAATTAAAAATGTTGGTGTAGTCATAACAAAAAAGGGTGGGGGGGGAGGAAAAAGAAAGTGACTGTATATTTGGAGCCATTCTCCCATGCTGTGGAAACAGAGCGGCCCAATTGCAAACCCATGAAGAATGCTCCTTTGGTCCTTCTAAGGCTGGAAGTAGTCTGAATGAAGTTGCCAGGGCCTGTCTGGACAGCTCAGAGGGCTGGTCCCATGCCTACACAGTCCCATTCGGTTCTGTGGCAAAGAGGGAGCAGGAGATGTGGCTGAATAATCAATGTTCTGGCTCATGCTATTAGAGACACCTGTTTTTGAGGTCATATCATTTTCTGGATTTTGGTGGCAACAGTAACTAAAACTAGAGATTTTTTTTATGTGTGTTTTTTTAAGGGAGGCAGCCTTTCACCATTCCATGTAAAACATGAGATTTTTATTTATTTTCATGAATTAAGAATTTAACCTTATGTGAGTAAAATGAAGGGAAGTTCTGTTAGTGACTTAAGATCCAACCGGAGTTTTCGCCATTTCTGGTAAAACTTCAGGTCCTTCTCTCTCCCCTTTCTTTTCCATGCCCTGTGACTTCAAGGGAAAGAGCAGAGAAGGGGCTGGGGGAATATAAGAGGCCTGTGTGTCCCCTCTCAAGACATATGAACCGGAGAACGTTGACGTGGTTATCCTTGAATGCTCTCTGAGCATATGGTTGGTGGATGGATTGGAACTCTACTTTTATTCACTGAACTCTCCCTGTCTGTCTCTCTCTCTCTCTCTCTCTGTGTCTTTGTGCATGGCCTCCAGCCAAATAATACACCAGCTTGACAGCATCACAGACTTTACATGTCACCTTTCTTGTTTGTATCCTTTGTCACCCACAGGTCAGCTTGCAAGGTTGAATGCAATATCCTTTTATCACTCTCCTCTCAAGTAAGTACCCTCTGATTTAGGAGGAAAATGGCCACTGTACACCAAATTCTGATAACTTGCAACCTAAATTCACAATCACTTTCTCTTAGTTGTTTCCTCCTGTGTGATAAAATATCCTCCTTCCCTGCTGATATCAAAGAATCATCTCAGTCTGTGGAGTGTTTCATTATAGTTCAGTGGAGATTTGCCAGACATCCTTGGGAGTTGACTTTTTACTCTCTTAATTAGGAAAATCGGCACAGAAACTTCTATAAGACCAGAAATGCCCTAGAAAACCTCTATGGCTGTGAAGTTTATGTAGCCACATCACTAATCCATAACAGCATCAGAGTTTCAGCCTCTCAAGCCCTTGAGAGGGAAAAGTCCAAGCTTGCTCAGCACCTCTAGACATGAGCCAGCTTTCCAGTGATTCTATACTTGGGGCCCAAAAGATCAAACGTGTGTACCTTAACAAGTGAAAGCAAACTCATATATTATTAAAGAAAACAAAAGAATCCAAACAGAGTAAAAATTCTACAGGCTTGCACTTTTGGAATAGCTGATTGAAATCCGTTGCAAAATTCAGCAGGATATAAATTAATTTAAAATAGCTTTTATGTAGCATGTGATCCCACTCCAGGGATCTAGCCACATATGTGGAAAATCCTGTCATTTTTAAATGGAGAGAGAACAGCATTTGACTGGCAGGATCACTTGAGAGTAGTGGTTTGAAGCTTAGGCTGTGGGCTCTAATAAACTTGATGTCAAAGATGGGTTTCACCGAATCCAAGCAGCATAACTTCAGGCAAATTATTAAACATACATTAGCCTCAGTTTCCTCTGCACAACTTACAGCATAATGCCTACCTTATAGAGGAGGTGTACTCACTGAGATATAGTTTTGAAAGGGCTTGGCATAGTGGCAAACTATCATTTATTAAGAACATGCACACTTATGGCTGCTCCTAAGCATAGTGGTTTACAACAGTTCAGTCCCTGGGAGGTGAGACAGTGTTTACGTAAGTGCATAGGAACCACCAGCACTGGGATCTAGATTGTTCTCTCTCTCCTTTTGTAAACAAGGCTAGGACTCAGCTGTGTGCAATGATTTGATACATCTTGGGTGACACCGTCCCAGACTTATATTTTCTCTGGCTCCTATGATAGTTCAAAACTAATACACCTGTCCCAGGATTCTGGCTGCACTGACCCAAAGACTTGTGTCTACATTGGCTATACAGTCTTTCACAGCCATGGAGTCATGTGAGTCTAGATGGCAGTGGACAGTAATCTTGATCCACACTGGTTGTTGATTTGAAAAAGAGATAGCTCTTAAATGGCATATCCATTAGTAGAAAATATGTGCTAGCTCAAACAGCACTGACATCCTATCTCAGTCCTTACGTTAAGATGAAGCAAGTAAAAATCATGGCATAATTGCTCAGATGATAGTAATATATACTTCATGCAAGGTGAGGAAGGACCTTACTGACCACCCCCCTTGGATTTGAGAACACTACACCACAGCTTCCCTGATTCATTGTGACTAGAGTGAAAAAATTCCCAGGAGCTGTTTCTGAAAATACACACTCCAGTTATAACAAACCTAATCCCAAAGGAGCAGCCCTTTTCCTTGAATAGCATTCATTTTCTTTCTCTTATCTCCAGCAATTTGATCATTTTTGTGCTGTACATTATTTAAATATCAGTAGCTATTTCTTAGAAAAATACTTATTGAAAAGCCTAATAAAATGGCCTTGACATGAACCCAGATAAAAAGTGGCATTTGGTTCTTGTATCTAAAAGCCAAAAATTTCAGCACTCTGGAAGTTCTTAGGCCATTGTTTAAATCTTTTGTTGCAAATTTGGCAGTGAAAAATTTAACAGTTGTGGCCTCTACCATTTACTGCATGTGGTAGCCTACCTAGCTGGAATTGCACAGGACTCTAAAAGTGATCTCACCTGTCAATAAATCAATCAATTAGGCAAAATTCATTTAAAACCTGGTGGAACACTAAAAAAGCTAGTGGCTTTACATCTTTGCAGCTAGTTCTATCCTATTATATTTTTTCTTAATGTAACAAGAAATGCAGTTGAAATTTTAGAACAATGTATAATGTTTAAAATGCTTTTATTTTGTCTGGACGTTCTGATCATGCTGCAAGATCAGAATTATCCCAAATTAAAGGCATCTCTTACCCAAGGGTCCCGAAGCCAAATGTGTCAGCTTCACATGAGTTAGCTGTCCACCTAGGCAGAGCTCAACATGGGTAAGGGACAGGAGTGGGTGCCATAGACATAGAACATCCTCTGCTAAAAAAGAGCTTTGGGTCTATTTGAAAATAAATACATATTTATTAATATATAGTACTAAAAAGAGCCAACAGAGGAAATCCTTGTTTATTGGTTTTCCACTAGCCACTTTTAAAGAGACATTATACATAATGATACTCAGCCTAGGGTCCTCCAAGACTACTCACTCCACTGTGGCCCACTCAGATCTTCAATTTGTTGTCCCTTTTCCATCCTTTGGCCACATAGTACACTACTCTTCTTGGCCAGTCACATCCTAGCTTCACAAATTGGAGGACTGGACCCCCCCCCAAAAAAAAAGGTGATTTTTTTTCAAAAATCAACATGGTATTCTGATAGAGGGTCAATGGTCTTATTTCCTTGTCAAGAAGACAGCACAAACATTTCTGGTTGTGCTGTTTCAACCCTCCAGATGCCTCAGATCCCCATTAAGAGAGAGGCTCAACAAGGAGGACTTCCTGCCCTCTCTTTCAGAGGTACAATAGCAAACAATGTTCTAGGACATCCGTTCCTGATTGTCACAGGGAGGGAGTAGAGTGTGTGTGTGTTTATTGTGTGTGTTGGGGAAAGGAGGGGGGTGGACCCTAAGTTTCATAACCCTAATTTAGAAACAATTTTCATCTTTAAAAAAAAAATTACACATTCCTTATTCCCAGGCGAGCTATAGTCAGACAGATGATGAAAGTAACATGAGAACTGGTGATGATGGCGAGCCCTGTGCCCACACAGAGGAGGAAGACAGCGGCCTGGCAGCAGTGTCACCGAGGAGAGGAACCGCCACATGCAGCCGCTCCTGACAAACCCCTACCCCTAAAGATGTGTTCTGATGACTATAGTGCAGCTAACTTTTTGTTCTAAGATTTGTAGTTCGTAGGTGTGTGTTTTGAGAAGGAAAAGGAAAGACTTCTGTTCAAAGCTAATTTATCAGCTACATCTTCTGTAACATGGCTCATCCCTGGTTAAAAAAAAAAAAAAAAAAACCACAGGCTGAAAACCTTTGCTGCTGTTACACACGATGGCAGTATTAACAAGCATTTTAAACCTTTGCACATGCTATCAAACCTGTTCAGTTTACAATGACAATATTAATACTGTTTATAGCTAGAAGTTTGATTTCTGGATTCTTTTGAGATTTTAGCAAAACAGTATATTATACACTGTACATTTTTTTTTCCATCTCTATTGGAAAAAAACAACCACTTCACTAGCCCCAAAGGATTTGGTTCCTGAGTGCACAAAATCAGAGCCCGGAAGCCAAGAATGGTCCTTGGCCTGCACGGTCTGCAGTTGTCTCCAAGTCCCTGTGAGCAGTGACTGGAACCAAACACACCAGGAATAATCTATTCTTTGGGGCTTCTTTCCAACTTGGGGTTGTTTTCTTTCAAGAAACTCTAATAAATCAGCCATAGAATTTAGTGTAAATATTTTTTCCAAGTAGATATCATATTCAAAAAAAAAAAGGCAACATTCAAATTATATAGAATCTAGTTTTTAAAATCAGCACAGATCTTCTTAAAAACTGTGAACTATGTTTTGAAATACTCGTTACTAAAGCTGTTTATAAACCACAGGTGCCATAAGATCCCCAAACGGACTAAAGTTATCTATGCTCTTCCATGGTCTTGTTCCTCTCGTTCTGGCTTTAGGAAGCATGTCTTTAACAGCACCGCTCATTCACGAGTTCCCCCAACAGGCGGTTTGGAGGCCTTCAGCTTTAAATGTACAGGCTTAAAGTGCGCTTGCAAACGTTCGCTCTCCTTTTATTTCTGAATGTTTATTGCCTTAGCTGGCCACCTGGTGTTCTGCATGCAGCCTTCTGTGGTCACGTGAAAGGAGACAGGCTCTTCCAAGTTGAGTTGGGATTTTGCACTCAGCGAAAAGCTGAAGTGTGAAAGAACTGTCAAAGACAAGAAGACAAAAGACTCTGTGATGGTCCTTTATGAAGGCCCTCTTGAGGGAAACCTCAAGACTCCCTTAGGGACCCTGGGAGAAATGGAAAAAGTAATCTACTTGTTTCATGATTTGATTTAAAAAAAGAAAGAAAAAAGAAAAAAAGCCTGCAGTATATTGGATACATTATACTTAAATTAGCAGCTTCTCTGGAATTCCCATTTCTCCTTTAAAGAGAAAGAACATCATTTTAGAACAGTGGTTCTCAAAGTGTGTTCCCTGGACCAGCAGTGTCAGCATCACCTAGGAAGGTCTTAGAAGTGCAGATTCTTAGGCCCCTACCCAGGTCTACCTGAATCTGAAACTCTGGGGGTTGGACCCAGCAGTCTGTGTTTTCATCAGCTCTCCAGGTGATTCTGATGCATGCTAACAATTAACTATTGCTTTAGAATACAGTTGTATAATTAAGTCTCTGAAAAGGCCTTATTCAGAATAAGGAAGAAAGGTTCTGAGTCAACCCCAAAGCTTCGGTGATTCAATTTTGCTTCCAGGGCTGGCAAAAACCTTCTCCCAGCCTACACACCTAGTGTGTAGCTGGTGGGCACCCAGCTGAGTCCTGACATTTTCCAGCACCCTTTTGCAGAGGCTGTGAGATGTTCATATACCTGCATTTGGTGAGAAACCACCTCCTTAGATGCCCTTTGGAACAAAATTGCTCACCTTGGGATAGTAAAATACTTGTGTGGCATTAGGAAGGAGCCCATCCTATCCCTTGATGTACTTTATCATACTTCCCCCCAGAGAACCCACCTGATAAATGTCCCTGAGCACAGGCTGACACCAAAGTGGCACAACTGCACAGTTCTCAGATATCTTTGCACAGATGGGTTTTATTGCGGGTTTTGTTGGTGTGTCTTAATGTTCATCTCTTTTCCACTGCCCATCCTCTGGGAAGCCATACCTCTCTAAATGGAGCAGGTGGCCACTGGTGCCTCATACTCAGTACTGAAAACCACGACATCCCAGCTACCTACATTGCTGTCAGCTCAAAATCATAGCCAGGTGGCTCTGGAACTCAGACCCCTGCCCGTGGCACTCAGCCACTGACTGGACCGAGCTGACATGCATCATCTCTTTATGTTTCTACACCAAAACGTTCGTCTAAGGTTTGAACTGTTCTACTGATAACCTTCCCCCCTTGTCATAGCTTTCATTGCCAGCCAACTCCATCACATGGTTGTTGATGCCATCGTACAAAGCCATTGCAAGGACTCTGGAAACTGCCGCCAATGACCAATTTCTGACTAACCAGCCACCTTTTCTTTCTCTTAGCTCCACGTCAGCACTGAGACCAGACTCAAGCACCCCTGTCCTGTAACCGAGACAAAATGGCGTGTGTTGTTTTGGGTTTTTGTGTTTTTTGGTGGATTTCTTTCCTTGGCTCTCCAAATTTACTTTTGGGGCCTGTTCTAAGTGCAAACCCAGCAGGTTTCACCTGTCCTGTCCATTAGCTACAGCTATATCTTACGGGGGTTGTTTCTTTCTTGTTCCACAATGAATTGCACATCCATCTCCTTCAGAGCTGATGGCCTATTAATGAGCACTAGTCTAACACAGCCAACCCTCCCCCACAGCACTGTGTTAATGGAGGAAGGGAGGAAGGTAAAATCTACTGCATGGGATTCAGGAATCAGTTGTGGTTGGTCAGGACGGAAGTTGGGGTAAGTTTGGTTGGTCAGAGGGAGATGTGCTGGAGATTGTGAAAAATGGATTCTTGAATGATCTCCTATAAGGCAGGGAAGGTTCATTTGTAAGTAGTAATGTGAACTGAATTGCATTAAGAGTATGTGGCCTTGTTGTGATATACTATGTATTTTCTTATATGCATGAGCTGAACTGTTGCATCATAATTTAGCACTGATGTCTGCTTTTATTTTGATCATCTTCGTCCACCCACATTAGTTCTTGGCTGTTAACTGTAGATAGATCTTGTAAATTCGGCAGGCCTTGGTTGCAACTTTGACCTTGGTTTGATTCCACGCAAGGAGCCACCAACAAGAATTCCAGTGTCCTCAGAAGAAAGGGCGTTTTTACTTTTGAACCAAAAAGAGAAAGAAAAAAATCAGAAGCATTACACCTTGAAATTAATTAACTATAAGATATTTTTAATTATGACTACTGCAATTTGACACCATTTGAAATAACCAATTCAGAGACATTAAAGATTTCATGATATTCATTGGTATTGTAACAAAACTACTATTGTATGGGTTTTTTTGTATTGCTGTTAAGTATTGTTTTGTGTGTGTGTGTGTGTGCGTGTGTGTGTTGGAACCTCCTGGGGACATGTTATATTTTGAAGTGATTAAACTATTTAATTGTGTGTCTATATTTTGGAATGGAATTATTTCTTCATTAAAAAAATGTTTTTAAAAACACTATATCTTGTATGTTTTATTCCTTTGTTTCAATGAATCTCTCCTAAAGCAGCATGGAGTTGCTGGAGCAAAGAGAAAATTTCCACTTTGCCCTTGGAAGCTTCACTGAAAAATCACAATAAAACAAATAATAACTCACAATAAAACAAATTAATAAGAGAAAAACTATACAAATTTATTTTGACATGTATACATGGGAATCCTCAGAAAATGAAGATACAGCTCTCCAACGGGAGCTGGTGTTGATTTCATGGGTATTTGTTTGTGTCTGAACTCATCAAATTATAGACATTAAGTCTGCACAGTTTATCATATATCATTATACCTCAATAAAGCTGTTTAAAATAAACAAATACATATATATGTAAATCTTGCATGCACAGGTGAAAACAAACGAATCTATAGTGATGATCACTCCTCCCATTCTCATTTCTCCTCTAAGAACCTCTGTGAGTTCCATGCAATGGAGGATTGGGTGCTTTGCTTATTTGAGGAGCTGATTCCTTTACAGAACCAATAGCAGAACCTGCAAGTCTAGCTCTACACTCTTCATGAATGGCATTTTTGGGAGATCTGACATGGAATGGTGCTGAAAGTCTGTGCTCACAGTCTGGGGTTGATTTGAAGTCCAGGAAAATACTGTAAACACTCAAGAGGTACTAGAGAGAGAAATTAAGAAGCTCTCCATCAATTACAAGGGCAGATCCTGGCCTGAGATGATTGGGAGAGGAAACTGACACATTCTACTTCCCTTAAGGTGAGAGACAAGGGCATGTCCATAGGTTCCTGCCCAAGTTGCTGTCAGCTGTGTTACAATGACTCAGCCGTTCATCTCTGAGGGGCCACATTTAGCTCCAGTTTCCTTACCTCAGCATTTCTCAAATTCATCACATTACAAAAGTCACCTGAGGAGTTAATTCTAATTTAGCAGGTCTGGAGTAGAGTCAGGGAATCTACAATATTTGTAATAAGTGCCTCAGGTGTTGCTCATCAAATTTTAAGAAATGCTAAAAATTCTGGGAAGCTGAGGCAAAAGGATCGCTTGAGGTCAGGAGTTCAAGACCAGCCTGAGCAAGAGTGAGACCCCATCTCTACTAAAAACAGAAAAATTAGCTGGCATCATGGCACACACCTATATTCCCAGCTACTTGGGAGGCTGAAGCAGGAAGATCGCTTGTGCCCAGGAGTTTTAGGTTGCAGTGAGCTATGATCACACCACTGCCTGTACCTGGCGTGACAGAATGAGGCTCTTTCTCAAAAAAAAAGGAAAGAAAGAAAAGAAATTCTATTCTCTTGCTACTCAAAATATGGTCCAGGAACCAACAGAACTAGCATCACCCAGGAACTAGTTACAAATTCAGAATCTTAGGCTTCAACCTAGACCTACTGAATCAGAATCTATGTTTTATCAAGATCCTTAGGTAATTTGTGTGCACATTAAATTTTAAGAAGGATTGATCCAGGGCCCAGCTTTCTTCCTAGCCTTTCAGGAGCCGACTCATGTGGGTCACCAGGGTATGGAATTACAAGCCAGGGTTTTTTTCTAAGCAAGGATAATGCAGTACTTCTTGAATTGTAAAATTTGATTTAATAAGTCTGGGGTGGGGGCCAAAATCTGCATTTCAAATCAGTTCTTACGTGATGCTGATACTGGTCTTGGGACCGTACTTGGAGGCATAAAGCTATAAAGTTCTCTCACATGAGACAGATTCTGGGGAGATGGTTACTGGTGAATCAGGTACAATAATCCACCCCTGGCCTTTGGGGATCCCTGTATATAGCAAATAAAGATACCCAAGTCTAAAGATATGAACATGATAGAAGCACAGTTGGCTTGGGGCACTCAGGTGACATCGTAGCAGTTAAACTGCTACGTAGCTCCAACAGAAGCACTGGAAGAGCTGAATTTAGGATTCCGTCAAAGAAGCTTTTGCTCTGAGAGGTGGGGCTTATCTCCATGGTACAGGGAATCATGCAGGAGCAGGACTCCATGAATCTAGCGACCCCAAAAGGACAGATCTGCAGGTTGAGATAGGGCCAGGTTGGGTGAGGAGAAGTTGGCAATGTTCCAGATTCACCATGCCAGCAGGACATGCATCCTGCCTGCCAAGAGCCCCAGGAAGAGGTTCTCTGGGCACCACGGGCACCAACAGTCCTGCCCTTCTGGGAGGCTGCTATGATAAGAATGCTTCCCATTTGAAACTTCAAAGATTCCTATGCAAGGATGTTCATGTAACCTTGTCTATAATAGTAAAATATTAGAAATAGCCTAAATGGACATTTATATAGCAGCACTTAAACTATTTATAGCACGATGCAATACAATAAAATACTAAGAAACCACAAAAATGGTGATACAGAGATAGATGTACTAATAGAAGATATTTACATATGCCAAGCAAAAAAAAAATCAGATTGTTAAAAAATATGATCTCAATTTTGTAAGATTGTGAGAATGATCTCAATTTGGTAAATATTTGAGTGGCAATGCATGAAAAAATACCAAGAAAAATATAGATCAAAAGATTAACCATCTAAGTAATGGGATTATGGATGGTATTTTTATTATTGTCTTTAAGTTATTATATCTTTTCCAAGCTCCCTATAATAAATACCTAGAGTAGATGGGTGAGTATATAAGGAACACTTGGGTACAACAGTCTCTTTAATTTGGTAATAAGGATGCTTGAGTCAGCAACACCTCTGAAGGGCATGTCTAACAATGAGAATTTCCTTTGCCTTCAGTAAACAAAGAATTCTCTCCTTGCCTATAGAGATGCTCAATAGCATTTTTATGCCACAGAGCATTGAAAATTATGTGTATGCTTGCTTTATATTAAAGAAAACTTAATAAAAATATTGGAGGCTTATGAGTCCAGTTAAATGACAATTTTTTTATTCCCCATTTCCAAATGCTGATCGGTTCAATAATGAATAGAAACAAAGCGTGTGAATGAGTAACGCAGGCCATGTGTATTTTCATCTCTGGTTCTGCTGGCTCACGTGTTAAATGAAGCTAAATAACACCTGTGGTTGGCTGCTTCACTTTCCAGTGCCTGACTGTGCCGCCCCCCACAAGCAGTGCTGCCAACAAGGCATCTTAGGTAAGAACATTTGTTGGAACATAAACAGCGCTAGGCAAATAACCTCTCTGGCATTCCATTTTTTCTGCAAGTCGTTTGTGGCTGCTTCATCTTGGGAAGAGCTACACCCTGAGAGTATCTGAATAGGGCCAGTTAGACCAGCTCTTTGCTCTAAGACCTCAAAGAGAAGCATACTTTTGCTTTCCCTGGAATTCTTTTCCTTGGCAAACACGTTTCCTTGCCAGCAGTGGGTTAAGCAGGTGGGCCACGAGGGCAAGGAGGAAGGTATACACTTAAGTGTGCCCTGCTCTAGGCAGAGGAACTCCTCCAGACACTCCAGAGTCACTCATCTGATGTGCAGGGCAAATGTTCACTTGCACGCACCTGTCCTCATCTCTAGACATTGTGTGCCAAATACCATAGATTTATAATTAATTTTTACGTGTGTCTTTAAAATTATGTAAGAAATAAAAAGTGGTGTCACAAACCAACAATACAATATGTTCCATTCCCATCCAAACAAGTGTACCTCAATTCAATTCTGGCACAAACTACCCAGCGTTATTGCAGACCCCACAGATGAAGGGCAAAGTCCTCACCAACACTGACATCAGCTCTGATGCCAGTCAAAAGTCTCAGGGCCCACCTCCACTTCTGATTGACAAGCTATAAATTCAGGGGCTCCCATGACCCCCCCTAAAGGATAATGTTCTAGATAATTGACTAGACCAACCCACAGAATTCATCGAAAGCATTACACCTTTATTTACAGTTTTATCATAAAGGATACAGATCATGAACATCCAAATGAGGAGATGCATAGGCCAGGGTCTGGGGACCGGGGGAGGACGAAGAGCTTCTATGCTCTCTCCTTAAGGAATCTGGGCATGGCTCCCTCTCAGCACATAAATGTGTTCACCAACCAGGAAGCTCCACTGAGCCTTTGTGTTCAGAGATTTTATTAGGGTTGCATTACAAAGCCATGGTTTTTTAAATCAATTGAACTCAATCCCCAGCCTCCCTTCCCTCTCCAGAGGTTGAGCTGGCCCAAAGGTCCAGGAATCTAATTATATGGTTGATCTTTCTGGTGGCCAGTCCCCATCCTGAGCTATCTAGGGACCCACAATGACTCACTTCATTAGTATAACAAAATACTCTTACCACTCAGGAGATTCCAAGGGTTTTTGAAGTTCTATGCCAGGAGCCAGGTACAAAGAACAGATATATTCTCCATTAAACCACATAACAATACCTGCTTTATTTGCCCATGTAATTACCTTTATTGGAGATCTTTATTTCTTCTTACAGCTTCAAGTTACTGTTTGTTGTCCTTTTATTTCAACTTCAGGACTCCCTTTAGTATTTCTTGGAGGGCAGATCTACTGTTAGTGACTTTCCTCAGCCTTTGTTTATTCAGGAATGTCGCAATTTCTCCCCTATTTTTGAAGGACAGTTTTGCCAGCTGTGGAATTCTTGATTAATAGGTTTTTTTCTTTTTTTCCTTCTTAATTTTTTTATTATGAGATGAAATTTCACTTTGTTGCCCAGGTTGGAGTGCAGCGGCACAATCATAGCTTCATAGCTCACTATAGCCTCGAACTCCTAGGCTCAGGCGATCCTCCTGTCTCAGCCTCCTGAGTAGCTAGGACTACAGGTGTGTGCCAACACACCTGGCTAAGTTTTCGAAATTTTTTTATAAACAGGATCTCACTATGTTGGCCAGGCTAATCTCAAACTCCTGGCCTCAAGCAATCCTCCTGCCTCAGCTTAATGAGTGGCTCTTTCAGTACTTTAAATATACCCCCTGCCTTCTAGCTTCTGTGGTTTCTCATGAGTAATCAACTGTTAATCTTACTGAATCTCTCTCATACATGATAATTGCTTCTTTCTTGTTGCTTTCAGGATTCTTGTTCTAGCTTT